TGTGGACATTATAGCACTAGCCAGACAAAAGGACACAGGCTAGCATTTTGCAGATGGACTAGAGCAGGTCAGTGGGGACTCTTGTTACAGGAAATTCTAAATAAGGTGCACTTCCCTAATTTATCCTGTAACCACATCTTGATAAAATCTCAAAAGCTCATTACCAGCAGTCTCTGCTTTAGATTAGAATTTAAATTTCTTTCTGTAACACTAACAATATGGAGACCCGGAATAAGTGAACAGACAAAACAAATAAACAAATAAATAAATATTTCTAACAATCCTTTTACACTTTCTGTTAGTATAAACTCAGTTGGATATAAATTTTGCAAAGGAAGGAGAAAATCAGTAGCTGTATAAGCATCCATTAAGACTGTATAAGCAGTTAAATGACAATGGTTTGGCCAGCATACTTGCTTATCACAGAATTTGTTAGCTTTATCTTTAGCAGTGACAGTAGGTTCAAAAGGCACATATAGGACTGAGATACAGCCCTTATCATTTCTACTAATGGCCACCTGACAACTTTTCATAATTTGCAAGCTGAATGCTATTCATAGTGTTTCAGAAAATAGTTTCCTTAAGAACGAAGAAACATACTTTCCTGTTCTCATTTCAAAGGCCTGGTATATTTTCAGAAGCAGAAACATACACCAAGAAAAAATGATAAAAATCACCCTACCCCGATTTTGCCAAATACACATTACTTACCCTATTTATATGTAAATCACGTAACCACCACGACGTACATAATCTAAGCATCACATCAGTGCACACTATTCCTAACTATTCAAGCTCCAGCAGTGCTCAATATTCAGAGTTCTGTGACCCACAGCAAATGGCAAGAAGCCAGAAATCACAATCTTTTCTGCAATGGGAGCCTGCATTTCAATGACAGAAGATTAATGAGGGCTTCTTTTGATAGGATTAGTTATTGAGCGGGCAACTCAGTTTGGGATATTGTTATAAAAGTGCCCACCCTTGCCCTTGATGAACTTCACCTCTATTATTAGAGGTGCAGAAAGTCACCAAAGCAATTATTTTAAAGGTGGAAAACCGAAGATAGTAAGTCAAGGGAAAAAAAAAAAACCCAAAAAACAAAAATGCTGTACAAACTAATGAAAAATAACTAAAAATTAGTTTGTTAATAGAACTCTATCAATTAATAAAGAAAAATGTTAGAAAAATTCTCCATTTCAATCACACACCTTCCACCAGTCTTCACTGTCAACAATCTCTACATTAAAAATATCAAATCTGTTTTCAAAATTACATTTAAAAACAGTCTTAACATTTTGATATTATCTACAGACTTGAGAAACAGGCCAACAAAATACAACAAAACAAAGAACAAGATAAGAGATCAAAAAACAATCATCTGTTAACATCTTAACTTTGTTAAATACCTTTCATTTTGCTTATTTTCTGAGACAAGAAAATAGTTGCAGAAAAGCAAATTTTCTCCAGGTTAAGTATATTCTCTTTCCCTCATTTCTCTTTGTTTACCCCAGGATTCCCAATAGTGAAAGAACCATGCTTTGGAGGGTGTTTGGAAATATATGCAGAGTCATTTTTCAGAAATACATGCATGCATTTAATTGTCACCATGATTAGGGGATTACTACAGGCCATCAGTGGCTGGGGGCCAGTGAGGCTCAGCATTTGCCCGGTACTAGATATTCTCATCATACAAGAAACTGTCCCTCATCCCACATGACTTATGAATATCTCCTAAGGTTAATCACAGTACATGTATAAATCCATATTACTTCATTAAAATACTAGTATTAAGGAGTTTTTGTAAGAAATTACACAAAAATGCCCCACTAAGATGGGGTCATAATAAAGAGGGAAGCATAAATCAAAGATATCATATATAAATTATTGAATTATTGAATAATTAACTCACCCCATGTAGCAGTACATTTAACAAACACCAATGTACTCTCCACTCAGAGTTAAGATGCTATTTAACAGATCATAACACTTTGTGACAACTGCTTTGGAAAGTATTAAAATAAAAAAAATACATTATCAGTAGAATGGAAAGCTACTTTGTACCACCATTCCTCAATTCTAATTTTCTCTTTTTTAAATATTATGTTTTATACTTTCTGTAACTTCTGTAAAAATTCCTTCCTAGGTGTAAATAATAAATATGACACTCCATATTTAGGTCTTTTAGTCAATCTAGAACTTATTTTTACATATGGTGTGAGGTCAGCTTTGATTCCCACCTTCCCTCCATATGGTTACCCAACTGTATCAGGTCCATTTATTCAATAATCCATTCTTTTCTAATTGATTTATAGAGGCATCTCTGTCAAAGTCTATTTATGGGTGGGTCTGTTTTGTGTTTTTTGTTTTAGTAGTTTATATTAATATCACTGCATTAGTATTCTTTTGGTTAATATGTGCCTGACTTATGTTTTTTATCTCCTTTTTTGACCAATAGCCGTAAATTTTTATCTCTTATAAATAGCATATGGAAGGATGTTTTAAAATATCTGAACAATTCCTTTATTAGGCAATCTAATTAATTTATATTCTTTCTATGGTCTTTCTATTTTTTACAGGATTGGTTGATTTTTCTTTGTCTCCCCCCCAAATTGGTTTGAAGTTATACATTCTTTTTCTATTCTCTTAGTGATTATCATTAAAATTTTAATATGCATTCTCTACTTCTGCATTTCTTGTGAGTGGAAACACTGGCTGTCCTTTGTTCTGGATTATATTTTCCAAGGCTGTTTTCATACAAACATATTAGAAAATGTGTGTATTGTTAGAAAACCAACACAAATATGCTAATGCTCCTGCTGCTTGCTGTGCTATGAGTAACAATGTCCCTTGTCTCTGACCCAGGAGTCTTGAGTTTCTTGCCACCACCCATGAAATGTACCAGGCTCAGTTATTAGCTTTTACGTAAAGTGAAATCATATCCCAGATCTGAAAAGATCACTGACTTAATATATAATGAGTATATTTATTTTCCTCTCCTATAAGGCAAAAACATTATAATACTTTTAAGCTGAGTTCTCACCTGCTCTTATCTTTGATATTATTGTTGGCTAACATTTTATTCCCATTTGGCTATTTGCCTTTCCTAAATTGACTTTATGTATAAATATTAAATAGTCATTGTTTAATTACATTTATAAACTAGTGAGGATTAGATGAGTAGTTTAAATAGGATGGAACGGTGCATGGCACACAGTAAGTACATAATATATGTTCGCATTATTACGTTTTAACAATGTTTTTTGCTCACCTTCCTCAGACCATACTCATTTAAAGTTCAATTTTCCTAATTAAAGCAAATATAAATTATATATTCTTTTTTGTGAGTCCTTTCTTAATACTGTCTATATTTATAGTATGTCTAAAACTTTAATCAGGCTTTCTTTGTAATTCCATACATATTTTTCTGCATAAATGTTTTTTGTCAATCTACAACACTGCCTGAACCAATGTCATTTTCTGCTTACTACTGAGCACAATTAGGTGCTTTCAAGAGAGGTCTTTGAAAATAATTATCCCTTCTTTTAGTCTGTGTCTTAACCATTAGTATTTTTTCCCTCAAATATTACCAACTCAGCAGTCAGCTCTTCTATAATTTTTTCATCTCCAGCCATAATATTTAATGTAGTTTTGTCTTATATCTCCCAAACGTGAAACAAGAAAGGTGGGGTTATATAAAATGAATACTTAATATGATACTATGTATACTGGTTAATTTTTTATAAGGTCTTTTATCTCCATATAATTATAGGGCTTGTCCTTATTTTGTCTGTTTTATAATTTGTATATGTTCTTTCTTGGAGGGCTCATTGAATAAACCATACACTCAAATAAAAGGTATTATTACTCCAGAAACCTAGAAGCAAATGACACCGTAAATGTTAAGAATGGCTGCCATAGGCCTGATCACATCACAGAGTTATATATAGCACAATACAAAGAGCAATGAACTAGGAGTAAGTATATCTATGTTTTAGTCTCTATTCTCCCAATGGAAGATAAACCAGACTAGGGGCAGAGGCTTGTCAAATGATGTAAGGTAAAATTTTAGTTCTGTGACTAATTAGTTTTGTTATCTTCTCAAACACTGTATTTCTTTTCAACTAAATGCTGAAATTATCTGCTTCATTCGCCTTGCAGATTTGTTTTGAGAATCAAATGAAATAATGTTTACGAAAATATTTTTAAACTTCAAAGCACTCTGCAAGAATTTATACCATAAGTATTATTGTTAACACTTTAAATACATTAGTTGAATGTGCCAATATAAACATTTTTCACCTCTAATCTTAACATCAATATACTGGTCCCTGAATATAAGCCTTAAGGGGAAATGCATGATCAGGAAACAAAGAAAGTTAAGATGGAATAAAGAGATCTCTATCTCAGAAGTTTTTTTTTTTTTTTTTTGAGGTTTATAAAAACCTATGATACTATACTCCAAAAGACTATTAAAAGAGGTTTGATTCCATGTCACATACCACAGATGAGTAATAGGTTAAGTTACACCATGGCTAAACTTTAAGAGTCAATTCTGACTTCTGGGTTGACATGGACTATTAAGAAGCTAATGAAGTAAGCCAAAATCTGGCAAAGCTCCTTAGGTTAATATATGAAGAAAAACACAGAAGCAGCTACTTAAAAACTCACTGAAGTTCAAATTTCCTACTTCTTCAAAAGCAGCCTGAATATCATAAAATCCAAGTGAAAACCCTTACGGCAGTTTAATACAACACTCACACTAAAGGATTTTTCAAAACAACTTGATAGTGCCAAAAAAAATAAGATACTTTCCCTTTACTTAAAGTGAGAATATGGAAGGTAATCACCGAAACTTTACAACAGAAGGCTGCAATTAGTAGCAGTACTTAGTTTACACATAAGGACTTCTTATGACAACACAACTTTAAAAACAGTACTCTTTTGTGCTAATTTCTGCTTTATTTTTTACCTCATGTTCTATTAATGTACCAAGTACTTACATCTGGAATAAATCCAATCTCATTGAGATGATTGCTCAGCTCTGGATCATGGAAAGCAATCATCTGAGAGAACACAGTCAGATACTCTGAAATGACAATATAAAACAATCATCATTTTTACACAATACTTCAAAGACACTAAATTCATATAAATTACTGCTTTATTTACATTTTGAATGATATTTAAATTCTCTAGGAAGAAAATATACTTTAACAGGTAATTTTCTGTTTTATTACTTTAATCACTTCCTGCTAATTATTAAACATACCAAAAAGCTATGGCACAACTTATTTTCTGCCTTCTAAACTATCAGTTCATTTCTTGAATCATAGATTATACATAATGTCTTCCTATTAAATTCAACATACATTTTTCTCTAGCAATATTAAATCTGTCTTGATTTATTGTATATTCACGAAGTGGAAGAGATACTTAAATAAGGACCAACACTTAAAAAACATTTTTTTTATTTTAGAGGGAGAGAGAGAGAGCATGAGTGGGGTAGAGGGGCAGAGGGAGAGAGAGAGAGAGAGAGCATGAGTGCGGTAGAGAGGTAGGGGGAGACAGGGAGAATACCAAGGAGGCTCTACACTCAGTGCAGAGTCTGACATGGGACTCCATCCCATAACCCTGGAATCATGACCTGAGCTGAAATCAGGACTCAGAGGCTCAACCCACTGAGTCACCAAGGTGCCCCAAGAACAACACTTTATAAGCAATCACGAGTACAATAATTATGCTTCAAATCTGTTTATATATACAGATATAGGCATTTGTTCCAGTTCTAAATTATTTCCATCTAAGGCTCCCTATTTGCCATATTTAGGAATAAGAATTAACAAATGTTAATCAGAAAATAGGCACACAGGGGGCACCTGGGTGGCTCAGCAGGTTAACCTTCAGACTCCTCATTTTGGTTCAGGTCGTGATCTTGTGGTTCATGGGAAACAGACCCACATCAGGCTCAGCAGTGACAGTGTAGAGCCTGCTTGGGATTCTCTCCCTCTCTCTATGACCCTCCCCCACTCTCTCTCTCAAAATAAATAAATAAATAAACATAAAAAAACCAGGCACACAGTAGGCAATTAAAAATACTGTTGTTGATTTTAATCCTATTGTAATTCAGAAAGTCCAGTTGAAATATAAAGAATATTTCCTTATTTTTTCCATTATTTCAGCAAATTACTATTTTGTCAATTTACTTACTATGTTCTAACCTAAACAGGATTCTGGCAACGATCAACTCAAGGGCAAGTAAACCATATTTTTACTAAGTAAAAACACAAAATTAACACATATTTTAAGGAGTTCAACTTCTTTCTTCCCCCCTTTTTGAGATTAAAATGATAATAACTCTATAAAATGAGTAGAATGCTGCCTTACTTAAATCTAATGGTTACTGTGAAGATAAATGGTAATAAAAGACTGAATATGAATTATTTTTTCCAGTTAATAACAGAGGGCTGGGGAGATTTCATGACCTACTTAGGATATTTCTCTAGTTTATGACATAGCCAGGTTCAGAATTTAGGTTTTCAGATACCTCGTGGTATGTTTTTTTCTGCTGTGCCAAAAAGGAGCATATTTCAAAAGAGCACAAAATGTGAGTTGTAGGAATATTGGAGAATGTGGTAAGAAAAATTTCAGACTATCTGTATGTTTCTGAAGGAAGATAGACATTCACTACTTCCTAGGGATTCCCCTGGAAATGATATGGAAGATGCTGAGGAATTCAGTATGATGCTGGAATGAGACGTTCGTAATGAGCACACCCAGTGCTCATCCCAACAAGTGCCCTCCTTAATGCCCACCACCCATTTTCCCTCTCCCCCGCTCCCCCCGTCCACCCTCAGATATCATATGTTTTCACTCATATGTGGATCTTGAGAAACTTAACAGAAGACCATGGGGGAAGGAAAGGAGAAAACAGTAGTTCCTTTAAAAAAAAACAAGAACTATATAAAATTGCATTTTAAAACTCTGGTAAATTAATTATAAAAACTGTTTTCCTTTATCAAATAAAGGTCAATACTTGAACCACTAATACTACTATTTCTGAGCACTCCACTATTCAAATCTACACTGTGGGGTACCTGGGTGACTCAGTCAGTTAAGCATCTGACTCTTGATTTCAGCTCAGGTCATGATATCATGTTTTGTGAGTCTGAGTCACTAATTGAGCTCTGCACTAAAAGCAGGGAGTTTGCTTGGGATTCTCTCCTTCTCCCTCTCTCTCTCTCTGCCCCTCCCCCACGCATGCTTTCTCTCTCAAAATAAATAAGTAAACATTAAGAACAAAAACCCAGGGGTGCCTGGGTGGCTCAGTCGGTTAAGCGTCCGACTTCGGCCCAGGTCATGATCTCACGTCCGTGAGTTCAAGCCCCGCGTCAGCTTCTGTGCTGACAGTGCAGAGCCTGGAGCCTGTTTCAGATTCTGTGTCTCCCTCTCTGTCTCTGACCCTCCTGCATTCATGCTCTGTCTCTCTCTGTCTCAAAAATAAATAAATGTTAAAAAAAAAAGAACAAAAACCCCAAAAAACAAAAAAACGAATCTACATGTCATTAGGTGTCTATAAACATGGCTGTTATATGGTGTCACATGATGAAATAAAGTACTTCCCATACCTTAAAAAAAATGACTATAACTCAATGAAAGTTTCCTCTTAACTTCAACTCCTTCCTTCCATAAAGTAGCAGATCTATTTTTCAAACCCATTATTGGGTGAAAATAACCTATAAAAATAATGTCTGATTTTTTTTAGTTCTTAAAGTACCTTATTTTTAATATTTCAAGAAATATTACTAAATCCTTGATAATATCTTAGTATAAGTAGCCTTCCCCTCTTTTCCTCAATTAAAACTTTGCTTCTGCTGGGTATTATATGTAACTGATGAATCATTAAAGTCTACTCCTGAAACTAATATTACACTATATAAATAAAAATTTGAAAAAAAAACAAACAAAAAAACCCCTGCTTCTAATGACCAATTCTAATGAATTTTATAATTATTTATCTATAATCAATGATACATATTTTACAAAGAGGAGCATCGAGAAGGGCCACAAAGAAAAGATGAGGCAGTGCTGTATTCAATACCATGATAAAGCCAAATTTCAGATCTAATTTGAACTTCTACCCATGGCTTCTAGGTAAAGAATAGGTATTTGATTAATACTTTTCTTGATTTCATGTTTATTCTATACCAATAGCATTCATTCTATCTACACACTGTCTCATCTTTTCGTCTAAGAACAAGAAAGGCATAATTCACATGAGCTTCAAGAGTTACAGATTAAAGTGAAAACTCAGGTCAGACCCCAATACCCCAGGGAACTTCCAGGTTTAACTTTAAATTTTTTTTTCTACTTCTAATTAGCAATAGTATGTTTACAGTCTTAGTTTACCCAGAAGCTAGAAGTATGCAATACCAATAATCATAAGCATTCAACAATATGTTCATGAAAGCATACAGCTATTAACTTTTAAAAAGCACATTTCATTAAAGAAATTTTTTAATGTTTATTTTTGAGAGAGAGAGATGGAATATGAGTGGGGGAGGGGCAGAGAGAGAGAGAATCTGAAGCAGGCTTCAGGCTCCCAGCTGTCAGCATAGAGCCCGACACAGGGCTTGAACCTATGAACTGTGAGATCATGACCTGAGCCAAAGTCAGATGCTTAAACGACCGAGCCACCCAGATGCCCCAAGCACATTTCATTTTAAACCAGAAAAACTGTGCCTCAAGAAATTCTCCATAGATATGCTCCAGTTTATTAAATATCATTCTTATCTGAACCTGATAAAAGATAATTATTATGTGGTATTACATGGTTAATTAAGGATCAGCTGAAGAAACCTAATCCATCATGAAAACATATTCCTTGCATTCTGCCAAATACCAATAGCTGGATTTATGATATGTGTTACAACTGCATATATATGTATAAAATACAAATATATGTATTTTTTATAAAATACATACAAATAAATATGTATACACGTTTATATATTATTATGTACTATGTATTATCTCATATAGAAACAGAAGTCATAAGGTTGGCACAAACTGGTTGCTCGGGACAAGCTTTGGAACGAGATATACTATGGTTTGTTACATTTAGAAAAATTTCTTTAAAGGTGGGATATGATAGAACTGATGAAGTCAGCACTATGTGATATTTCAAGTTATTTAAAAAATGCACTTAAGGGGCGCTTGGGTGGCTCAGTCGGTTGGGTGTCCGACTGCGGCTCAGGTCATGATCTCACAATTTGTGGGTTTGAGCCCTGTGTCGGGCTCTGTGCTGACAGCTCAGAGCCTGGAGCCTGCTTCAGATTCTATGTCTCCTTCTCTCTCTGTACCTCCCCCACCTGTGCTCTCTCTCTCTTTGTCTCTCAAAAAAAAAAAAAAAATGCACTTAAAAGTTCCCGAGTAAGTTAAAAAAAATCTGAAGTGCATATGTCCTTTGATTTAGAAATCAACCTCAGAGAATTTAAGGGTAGTACAGAAAAACAGACCAGTAGTCAAAATAAAACAAAGAATTTCAAGGATATTACTGCTGACTCTTATAATTTTCATAAACATTCTAATTGTGATTTCTAATAATGAAGATATACATCTAGAGCCATAATATAACCTCCCTAAATAGTGTTTCCTAACTAATAGGTGATGTATGTAAGGGTAAATGTTATTCTTTAACATGAAAATCAAAATATTTACACAAATTCCCCTTAAACTTCAAGTGAAGATTCATGTTGCACTCCTGCCCCAAATCATGTCTAATAAATTTTTTTGTGTGTTTTTTTTTCTTTTTTTTTTTAATTTTTTTTTTCAACGTTTATTTATTTTTGGGACAGAGAGAGACAGAGCATGAACGGGGGAGGGGCAGAGAGAGAGGGAGACACAGAATCGGAAACAGGCTCCAGGCTCTGAACCATCAGCCCAGAGCCCGACGCGGGGCTCGAACTCACGGACCGCGAGATCGTGACCTGGCTGAAGTCGGACGCTCAACCGACTGCGCCACCCAGGCGCCCCTGCAATGACATATTAAATAAAATTCTTTTCCCTTTTAATCCCTCCAAATTAAAAATTCTTATACCTCTCCTTTAAAACAGCTTAATTTATTACATACTTTTAAATGACAGTGTAAGGATTTCATATGACTGTATCATATTTTTGTGCAGCTGTTTATAAATAAGTCATGTTTGTTTTCAAAAACAATTTCATAAAATGGATACAGGATGAAATTTCAGAAAGTTTCCACACATGGATATCCTTATTTTTTCCTTTCTGACTAGTCTTTCTTCTTTCATTCTCTTACCCAGGGTAAGGAAAGAAGGATGATAGGGGAGAGATTTAAAGCAAAAGATTTCCTCTGCTCACCTATCAAAAACAACATTCTCAGTTCTGTAACTATTTGTTATTTTCACTGCTCGTTTTACCTTGAAGATGGTTAAGTATAGATAAATTTGCAAAGAGTCATAAAACTCTTGTCAATTAAAATGTGCCCAAATGAATTTATTTGGTGACATTCTGACTCACAGCACTCAAAAGAAGTCAAAGTTATTTCACTGCCAATGAACCCAAATTAGATGATCTCCCATTACAAAGTTTGCTACTTGTAAAATTTGGCTTACCGCGTGAAGTCACAAGAACAAGTATCAACCTTTATGTGTATAAAGGAAGAGGTGGGTTAAAAAAAAGAGAAAGATAATTTTTAGGGCTACATTTGTCAGCTATTTTTTGCATACGTACCCTGCTCTGCTAAATCTATAAACAAACTCACTTAATGGTTTTCATATTTCTAGTAAAGGTAGAATATTTTCAGTCTCAGAAAAAAAATGTCTTTACTCACGTGATGCAAGACACTCTTGAAAATGGCAAGGCTGTATACTCAATGTATTTTCTACTATCTCCCAATATCCTATCATTAAAGCCATCCACGACAAAGATGTACATTCAACCCAAAATAAGAAATGCACCATTTTCCTAAATGCATAACACTTATACTGTAGTTACATATAAGGAGATTTATATTATACTCCTGTTTTTAGACCATAACAGACTTTAGTCCATCTTCCTTCCTCCTTCTCTCCCCCAACACTTATTGAATGTCTATGTGCAGTGTGACCATACATCGAAGTTTACGTGGGAGAGTCCCAGTTGCTGCCTTAGGCTCAGTGTCTGGTGCAGTTTAGTGTACCTTTTAACTATGAAAAATATCAAATTTAGTTATATAGCCACTGTGGCTGTGTGTTGCACTACTTTAAATGTTAGACATTACAGAGAAGAAGATAACATCCTTTCCCCCAAAGGATTTAGAAACATCTTACAGGTAAACAGAATACTGGGAAAATTTTCACCCAGTTTTATTTCCTAAGTTTATATGGCATTTCTGTATTCCTTTCCCTTTCTGATGTGTAGGAACCACATCTTCCAACTGGTCCAAGTATGAATATGCCTTAGTTTTATAAACAGTACAAGAATGTTTAACATCGTGGCAAAATTCCAATGGCTGTTTTGGTGAACAACACAGAGCAGGATAACTTCAAAGAACAGTTTAAAAGTTTATAGGCCAGTTTTCTGGGTTATTCCCTTCTTAAATGCAAAATGACATTAAAGTATAGTTAGGTTTTCCACAAAGGATGAGTTCCCATTGTTAATGATTAAATGGCTGCCTCTCTTCACTGGACTCAAGCTGCCTTTTTTTTCTCTTCAATAGCCTAAATTATGTCTTTCCAGTGAGTCTTTTCCAATATCTCTGAAACTCAAACCAATCTATCCCTTTCAGATCCCTCCACCTTTTTCAATCCAACTGGTACTCTAAGGTTCTGAATCTAAGAGAAATTTTAGTAATCTTTAGTTAGAGGTCCAACCCTGAGTTGTTTAACCAGTATTTTATTTTTAAAATCCTGTGTTGATACTTTATAACTCAATAGTAACACCACTGCGGATAATCTGACAGTGCCAAAAAAAAGTATGTCTCATTAGGCTAGAAGTAATTAAATTTTTCACCTTTTTAAAAATGTCTAGAGGTAACACGTTATAGGACACATCATATGGTATACAATTAAGGAAAACAGGATGTCTTGACTAGATAACTTTTCTCTCTTCTTTAAGAGACAAAGCATTTTAGACTGTGATGAGTATGTAAATACTATATTTTATTAGAAATTTTTAAAGAAAAATATTTCAAGTTCTATTAGTATATAATTATAGAAACAAATATTTTTTCCAAATAACATTTAAAGTTGCTATTGAATATAGAAACTTCTGGTTTCTGTAGAGGCAATAAAATGACTAAATGAATATGCAATTCTACAATTAGCTATTGAATTGATTGGCTTTATATGATCTAAGTCTTTTCCAAAACTTGTGGGGAAAAAAGTGCTCATGTGTTACTTATGCCAATCAAAAATCAATGTTAATTTGAAGTTTAAAGCTTAAAATACCATCTAACAAAAGGGGAGGAGAGGACAAACCAAGAAGGAAAACACTAAAATGAGAGCTGAATATTTCTAATTCCAAGCCTAAAATAAACATTTGGAAGAAAAATAAAGCATTGTTCTTCCATAAAATTTAGTAACCAATAATCAGTATACTGTTTCAGCTCCTTCTTTAGCTCTCTTTTGGAATTCAGGCATTCTACTACTCACTGTTTTTTCAACCCATTTTGGAACTTTTTACTGCAGTTCTCTTACATGTTCTCTGTCTTAAGAATATCTTTCTCCCGGGCTGCCTAGGTGGCTCAGTTAAGCATCCAACTTTGGCTCAGGTCACGATCTCTCAGCTTGTGGGTTCAAGCCCCGCGTCAGCTCTGTGCTGACAGCTCAGAGCCTGGAGCCTGCTTCAGATTCTGTGTGTGCCTCTCTCTGCCTCTCCCCCACTCACGCTCAAATGCTCCCTCTCCCTCCTCCCCTCCCTCCCTCCTTCTCTCTTTCTCTCTCTCAAAAAAAAAAAAAAGTATTAAAAAAATTAAAGAATATCTATATCCCTTTTCACCAAGCAAGCTTCTACTCAGATTTCAAATTCACACATAAATAACCCTCTTTAATGAAACCTTTCTAGACATGCTATCTCTTCTTTTTGCCACTAAAAAGAAGACAGTTTAAAAAAATAAACATACCATAAAATAACCTCCCCAACTTCATCCTCTGTACTAATATAGTAGTACGTACATTTATTTCATTGACTTATAAGTAGTTATTTTCACATTTATTTCCTATATTGGGCTATGAAATCCCTTGGAAAAGGACTGAATGTTACTAACTCTAAGAACTTCTATTCCTTTAGTAGTGCCTGGCAGAGTCAGTGCAGAACAATTAATTATTGGAACACTAAATTAATTGAGACTGCTTCTTTCTTATGTAACATATATGGTCAATACAAAAAATGAACAAATAAACACCTTGACTGTTGTTTCCTGGGAAAATATACATGAAACATTTACATAATATTAAAGAACATTTATCATAGCTTTGAAAAGCTTTAAAATTAGTTACCAATTCAAGATTTCAAACACAAATTTATAGAAATTATAACAGAAAATTAACACTTACAAAAATAAACCTTAAATAATTGTATAGTCTTTTCATTACAGTATTAAATGTTAAAATACATTACTGATTAATCTAACAAACTAAGGATATTTGGGGGCCTTTCTGACTAGTTCCTCCAAATTCATGTTGTGTACACTATGGTTTCTCTTTATCTTTATATATGAAACAAGATCTTATTTATTTGTATAAGCCTTTTTAGAGTGTATTAAAGAAGTCTACAGTCAAAGTATAAAAACACATCCTTTTCAGGCTGGAAATTCATTATCAATATAAAACACATCCATTCATCTGTATTATGAAATAGTTGCTAGAAAAATGAAACTTTTTAGAGTTAAATCATTTCTGTATTTTGAAACAGGAAGCTATACAGAACCAAAAGAAAACCCAATGTGATAGAAGCTTTCTAATATGGTCCTCTGAGAGCTAGCCAATGCATTTGATAAGTTCTGTTTTAATTGCTTTTTTGATGATTCTCCAAATACCTTTATCTTTCTTAAAGTACAGGCATCTAGCTATGCACTATGCTTTAATAGAAGCCTGATATATTTGGAAAAGTATTATTTCCAGGCCCTGCTATATGAGAGACCAATTAATATTATGGGTTCATGTTAGTTTTAAAAAATAACAGCATTATTTCTTACTTATACTTAATTGAAGATTAAGAAATCACGTTTTGTGATATACAAATACTCACCTACATATTTTCTACCTTTAATCTTTTCAGTTTGTTTTGGTCACAATTTGACAAATTATTTGCATTGTATAGCGTCTGAAATCTCTTAGTATAATTCAAGGTGTTATTAAATCCACTCATTTTGGTATTGCTGGAATCTTAAAGAGTATACTGACAATTCTATAATAAATATCACTGATAAAGGTAATAAGGAAACTATAGATAAGTATGGAACACATCTCAATTAATAAAAGATACACTCTTACAATACATAACTTCATTAATTCTCAGAAGTTGACATTACATGACTCTTGAAGTTATATGGCTTTACTAACTAATCTAAAAGCAAAAAGCACCTTCCTTTCTATAAAACATACTTGTCTTTGGTTACAGTAGTCATTAGAACAATATTGTAATTCTTTATGGATTTGGTAGAAAGACTAAACCTAATGGTCTCTTAATGGGTTTTAGTGATAGATTATCATCATATTTTATTGGGTCACATTCATAAATTTAATTGAGTATTGATCCTTTGACGTAAGTATTTTCTCTGTAAAAAAAACAAGGAAAGACATTTGCTTACCTTGTATTACATGCGAGTTGTCTTTCAAGAAAAAGTTATACAGGTATTTGGGAATAAAAGCAGACATACATGCATAAGCCAAGGCTAAGAAAGAATAGGCAAAGATATATGGTAAATTAGTTAATGAGGCAAATGATGAGCAGTTACTCAGCACATAATCCTTGAATCTACTACTAAACAAGAGTCATGTTAACAATTGATGGGAACACAAAATTAAGGGTGGGGGAAACCCTCTATCCTTTAAAAATAAAGAAAACATTTTGGACAACAAAAGATAACCACCCTACTAAACTTCAATTTCAAACTAGTGTGGCAATCATCCCACAATAATAAAAACTTTTATTACTTAGAACTTTATAATTTAAAAAAATTCTAAAAATGATCATTATTAATGAGCTATACCAACTTTAAGATCCTTTATTTTTCTGGATACAAACAAAAGAGTCTGAGAACTTTGGATTTAGGAACTCTAGTCATAAATTATTCTTTCAAAGACAGATCTCTTATTCTAGGATCGATGCATGTGATACTAGACTTTGCTTAACTAAACATAGCAAAATCCCTGGTCTAGATTAATGAATATTGATTTCGAAGAGCAGTGTACTTTAAAAATTATTTTAATAGTGAAATTTTAGTTTTCTGGGATTGTGCTCTCTCTATTCCTGAAATCTTTATAAATTCTCACATGAAATAGAATTTGAGAAGATGGAGATTCTGAGATTGAGACTTCTAGAGATTCATATTCTATAGGGTAATGGTCTCTGTATGTGATATCGTTGGGGATTAGAATCAATTAAATTTAACATATATTTTTTGAGAATCCTACTATAAAAGAGGCATTATAAGAGGGGGGCAGGAAATTAAAAAAAAAAACCTACCATTTAAAAAAGTTGCGAACCAAAGAAAGGGTTACTATATTACTGTATAAATTACTAAAATACAAAACTTATACAAGATAAATTTTCAGAAATACGAAGTACCGTATGGGTTCAAGAGGAAGGATAAGTCTTCATCAAGGAATGACTGAAATGATCAGCTTTGGAGATACAAGAGCACTACTGATTTCTTTACAAACTGTTTAGAAAGTATATATAGACTAAAGCTAATCTCCAAAGAAGTCAAGGTTTTCTCCAAAGTTTCATTAAGTGGTCACCAAATAAGATGAATTCATAATCAGATTCTCCCTAAATTTCTAGTCACTGCCTGGTCACAACTAAAACTCTAGTAATAAATTAATCCTTTACATCCTCTAAAGTGAGTCTAGCAGATTATGTCAGAAATTTACAGTATCTACCAGGTAAAGAGAGCAAGAACCTTATAACAAAAACAAAAACCTTTCCTGTATGAATAAAATATTTTAGAATAATACGTATAATGATTGCTTAAATGATAAATAGGCTTACCTTCATTATTAAAATTTAAATATAGGAATGGAGCACAAAGCGAATCAAGACCTGATAGGAAGGGGTTGGGGGAAAGAATTCAATAAACATAAATCAGTATAAGTGCATATGTACATACCTTACTCAGCTCCCTGAATTACTGCTATGTAGATTAAGCATTATAAGTATTATCCATCCAGAAACAGATTACATCATGGGGTACTATGAGGAGTAACTGATAATGACTGGTACATAGTAAATGCCCAATACAAATCAGCTATTATTACCAATATTATTAGTTAGAGAGAGACACACAGTGATAGAAAAATGTAAAATTGATAGGAGGTTTAGAATACAGTCCCATTTCTGACCCTGTGTGATCTTGGCAATCACTTAATATCTCCAAGCATATTTCCGTATCTTGAAGATGGAGATTTGTCCTACAAGTTTCTCTGGGATGATGAAAAGAATTCTTTTAAAAATTGTGAAGTAAAATACAAACATATTACATATTTCTTTTATTGATAATACTGCTGTTCATATGTTGTCATGCTGAAGGAAGGTACATAAGTCTATAATTGTTAGGAAGATCTGGAACTCTAAAATGGACAGGGCTAGGAAAAATAATAGCTTCATTTTAAGTTCAGTCAGAAATTGAGATATAAAATATAAAAACTACTGTTCATAACAACTTAAAAAATAGAACTGGGAAGGAAGAATGGGTGTCTGATTCATGAATTTATCAATGGCTACAAAAATAATAATGAGAAAAGCTAAAAATCAAGGATATGGAATATTAAGGTTATTTAAAACAGGAGAGATAAATTAAATGAGCAGTTTAGGATGACATCCTGTTCCCTAATATCTAATAACCATGATATCCAAAGTTGTAAATCATTAAATGCCAAGAATATCAAGTAGCTCCAAATTATTTATAGTATAATATTATTTCATGATTTGTATAAGCATTAAGAAATGTAGCCCCAAAGATCCCAATAGCACAAAATATTGTTCCTACTCTCCTAATCAACATTATGGCAAATTGTTTCATTAAGTATCTTGCATTTAAATAATATCTAGTAGGCATTTAGACAAAGTTTAACAAAAAATTCTCTCAAAAAATAGATCATAGCTTCAGTATCAACTTTCTTCAAAGCCAAGGATACTTTGATATTTTAATTTTTTAAATTGTCAGTTATTCAACATGCTCCTAATACTTCAAAAAGAGTCTTAGTGATTGGGAGAAAAAAGTTACCTTGCCAATACACAAGATCAGGATGAGACACGACCCAGGCTTTTAATACACGCCTAAATTTTGCATGACCTTCTGGTGATGACAGCAGTTCATCGTACTGATGACAACGAGGAATATCCACTTCAATCTAAAATAGCAAAAACAATAAGGTGGAATTGTAATAAAGTGATTTGCAATAAACCCAAGATAACAAAAAGGAAGACTGCATCTTGAATTTCAAAACAGACCACCTACATAATCCTGGTTTCTGAAGTTTTTAAATTTTATATTAGTCCTCTGGAAACACCAAAACAGTTGTGTTTATACTTAAACAAAAAAGCAGATCATTTCTATTGAAAAGGTATGTATTAATATAGTTTTCAAAAAACCTTCCTTTATAAGCTGGTCTAAATAAAGGGCAATTTCTTCAGATAAAAGAGTAAAATTATTGGGGCCCCTAGGTGGCTCAGTCAGTTAAGCATCTGACTCTTGATTTTGGCTCAGGTCATGATCCCAGGGTCATGGGTTTGAGACCTGCATTGGCCTCTGCACTGAGCATGAAACCTGCTTAAGATTCTCTCTCTCTCTCTCTCTCTCTCTCTCTCTCACTCTTTCTGTTCCTCTGCCTCTTTCCCCTGCTTGTGCTTTCTCTCTCTAAAACTTAAAAAAAAAATTATAAATAAATAAATAACAATTATTAGGAAAAGTTACTTAAACTCCTTTAAGGAACAGTTCTAACTCAATAAATTATAATTAGTAAGAACTATGCTTACTCTACCACCATATGCATATAGTGGCTGCTGATTATTCCTACTCAAGAAAATTCCTCCTGTCTTCTAAAAGTTAAAGATTTGGCAGAATTATCTTAGGTTGTTTAAGAAAATCTAAATCATACTTGTCTATCTGTAGGAATTGGAGTGTCTTTATCAATTGCATCGTATTTGGCATGGATAGCCCCCTGCAAAAAATAAGAGAAGATATATTAATTCATCATATCCTTAATAAATTATTAACTCAGGCAAAATATAGTTTTTATAAACATCTATCTTTGAAAACACACCCAATTATAGATATGCACATTCAAACCCAAAGCATCATTTTAGAAAAATTCTCTACATCTGTGACATTCTGTGATGAACGTCCATGATGATATGCCATTTTGCTTAGGCAGACATTTGAATTATACACACAAGATGACAAATATGTTGAGTCACTCAGCTAATGAGTATGCTTAGCTGTTCTTCCAGTCTCCACAACACAGCACAGCACAGCCTTAATGCTCTATTCATTGTTATCTCAAACATAGTAAGTTTCATGAAGAAATTAAAAAGAAAAAAGGGGGGGGTAGTCATCCCTTGAGAAATTTTCCTGTTGAAGTTGAAAATAAAAGCAAAAATAAAATAAAACTGTTTGAAAGAGTTCAGCACTAGGAGGAAAAGATTTGGGATAAAGAATGAAATACCATGTGGAATCCCTAATGGAATCATTAAGGGATTAAAGAGATCATTTGCATTTTCCATTTATACCACTCAGAAGGAATAACTGAATAAACCACTTTAAATTTTGGTCATGTTCTACACAACCAAATATAGAACGATTCTTCTTAATTCTCTGGTTTACTATAATGGTAGAAAAGAGCTAGGAATTTGGGGTTCAAACTCTGATATTATAGGATATGTCAACATCTCTGGCACATCTATTTTATGAGATATTTGGACAACCTGACCTTGGAAGTCATCTTGAACTTTAGCATTATATGGTTCTACAGTTCAAATTATTATCATATGGTATGGTACAATAGGTATTCTCATAAAACAACAAACTAAACTCAAAGATATTTATAGACTTTCACCAAAAAAAAATCAGGAATGAAGAAAATAATTCTTTCAATGGAGAGTTAAAAGGCTTAAATATACTTGGGAGAACTCACACACCAAAAAATAGGTGATGGATATCCATAAGATATCTTTAACAGAATCTAGGAAAGCAGGATGACAAAGAAATTGACAGGAAATGAAAAAATTTGGCAATGATTTAGCCCATTATCAAGACTACTGTCAACAAAGTCTCTATTAGTACCACAAGTCACCCTAATAATGTGACACCTCTCTTTTTCTCACTGCCACAGATAAGGTATCATAGAAGACAAAGTAGCTATTTCTCTCGGCAGCATGTACTAAAAGGCACTAAATTATATTAATGATTTTTGACAAGGTTCAAATTGGAGTGGAAGATTTCTCCCATCTTAGAACTACCTATAAATAGGCAATCCTATTTGTAAATGAACATATTCAAAAGGACAATATAACTGATATATATTTTAAATATTCTGATTTGACCTCTATTAAATGAAATATTAAATAGCATAAATCTAACAAGACTTCAATCATATTTTTCTATTCTATCTAGTCTATTCTTTTCCTCTATTCCTTTCACTAAAAATTGTCAAATAATCTTAATACTCAAATTTTACTATGTAATTTTTTAACAACATGGAAAATAGTTATTCAGAAAGCACTTTCCTTCTTCCTTCTTTCTTAATATTATTAATCAACCTCTAACCTCTTTTCTTTCTTACCTCAACTCCCAGAAGAGCAGCCCATGTTAAACCTCTCATAAGAGGAGGAATGTCAACTCGTGCTTCCTTCCAGATTTGATTTTTTTTATATGGATAAGCCTATAGATAAAAAAAGATATGAAAAAAATCTCAAGTAGCCAAGTGCCATCTTTTAATCTAAACAATGACAGAGTTAAAAGTGACCTGAAATAAATTTCCAAGTATCTGAAATTATTTTGCCTGGTATTAATAATACATATAAGTTAGTAATGGAATAGTTCCCTATCCTCTGTAGACCTTATATAATACAAAGAGAGGAGCTGAATCTCCTGTTTTTAATCATTCCTCTCTGTTTTGTGCTCTGGAAGAATTATGAATGACTCTTATGGAGAATAATATTACCAGTCTCATATGCGTTAAATAACGCATAAGGCACTTTGTAAAATATCAAGTGATACAGAAAGTATTCAATAAATAAAAGTTATTATTAAGGTTATTTCTATAAGCTTACATATAAATTTGTCTTTATAAATTTGTGCTTTAGGAGGCATTTCTAGAAGAGAATTAATAGGACACGGGGTATGGATGTTGTTGAGGCTCTTAATACATAATTTAAAATAGATTTATAGAATGTTTCAACCAACTTAACACTCCAAAAGAATGAGAGTTCCAATCTCAATATACATTTGCTCACTTTGATAATTCAATATGAAAAATAAAGGTCTATATTTTTTCATTCCTGGTGAGGATACATATTTTGAATAGACTTATTGACTAGTTGTATTTCTACTATGTTTTTTTACCCATTTCTCTGTTCCAATGATCGTCCTTTTTCCTGTTTATTTTTAAGTGTTCTTTAAATAGCAAGGATAATAATTAATCTTTTGTCTATGGTTTTGCATAGATGCCTTCATCTTGTTTTACTTTTTAATTTTATTTACTATGAACATGAGTCATTTTTAGTATTAAAGTTAAGCATATAAGATAGGTCATAAAAATTAGTGTTCTCATGACCTTGAGATTCCCTAAGAATTATTAATGAAATAAAAAATAAAGATTGTATATGGGCTCTTTACACTTTTGAATCCCTACCTTTAGCAGCCTGTCAAAGAGAATGATTCTGTTTAGTTGGTACTCTGTGTCCCTCTCTCTGATGATTAAAGGGAGAGTGGCAGCTGCAGACAACTCATTATTGCTGTTTGAATGAGGTAAATTAGACTGGCTATAAAAGAGAAACAAAAGCAGAAAAACTGACCAAAGTTATAAAACTAAAAAAAAACCAAAACACCACATTTTTGTACTCTATTTAGGAAATAATTTTCAAAGAAAATGTGCAAGCTTCTTATCAATTTAATATAAACAGAAAAGAAAAATAATGGTAAAAGAATATATATATATACTCACTCATCTTCAAGTAGTGGGTAAAATGCTTCTCCACCAACATCTTTTAATCTCTGAATTTAAAGAGAAAATATTTATGATATTTAAGATCTGAGACAGAAACACTATTCTTTATTTTTAAAAAATATGTAAAAGTTAGATATTTATGAATATACCAAAAAACTATAAAACAGAATCTAAAATTCATTCCTATCATAAACATGCAACTATACCAAGACTCCAGTGAGTTTAGCTGTGAAGAATATTTTTTGATTTTTTACCTTGGGAATTTCTTATAAATGTTAGACACTGATTATGACAGTTTTCCAAACACAATGCAGAATTACTAACATTAGTATAAAACTGAGTAAATGGAGACATTTTTAAATCATATGAATATTATGTAAAAAAAAGGTACCTTTTAACACATACCCCTTAATTTAAAACTGAAGTCAGATTTATTTTTGCTTTGACACTGACACAAACTAAGACAAAAGGTGCTAATAAAAAGGATTCAAAAGAATTTCTTACATCATACTTTGAATGTGCATGATTCAAATAGCTGGTAAATCAACTGGCAAAATTCAATTTTATTTTTTTCACAAACTTATTATAACTGTTATTCCAAATAATAATATTGCCAGGATTATAGATATTCTTTAAAAACATAAGAAGGCAGGCAGTAGTAAAGTAAAATCTTAGACACATCCTAAGTAGGGTGATTAAAGTTAATGCTGTCTTGCCTGCTGCTCTGTTCTTCAGTCCAATGTCCAACTTGAGGGCCGAGTACCTGTTCCTGTGGGGACTGACACAGAAGTTCAAGCTCTGTGTGTAGGCAGCATTGATCTTCCATTGACAAGAGTTATTGTGCACTCACCCATGTGAGTTATTCTCAGAATTTTTTAAAGCCAAAGAAAAATCTTGTACCCACAACTAAGAACCTGGCAAACAAGGAATTTATGCCTGGCTTTTCTCTCAGTTCTGATGTGCCATAGATTTTATCCCGTTTTGCCTCTAAATTTTAGGTATCTCTTTCATGGATTTTGATACTAAGTAGAAGAATAAGATTTTCCCAAATTTTGCTGCATTATTAATATGCACATTGTTTTAAAGTTTGGATTATACTGTCCTAAGAATCATAGATTTTAAGTGTCTCTTCTGCTTTTTTTGGTACCAAAAATTTGTACTTAAGAGAAAAATACAGAAAAGTCTAAGGTAAAAATTGTTATGTGGTCTCCATATTATTTTAAAAATCAGAAACATAAATAACTGTTTTTGTAACACTATTTTATTTGGAGTGAACCCTTTTCAGTATCCCTAAACTGTGAGCAATGGGAAATGGAAGTATGAAAGAAACACATCAGAGATGTGACAAAAAACTTTACATTTTTTTTATTGACTTTATACAATCAGTGCATATTTAAGTAAAACAATTTACTATTAGGCAAACATTTTTGCATATGCTGTCTTCTTTTTTTTTTTTTTTTAATTTTAATGTTTATTTATTTACTTTTGATAGAGAGAGCACAAGTGGGGAAGGACAGAGGCAGAAAGAGAGACACCGAATCCGAAGCAGGCTCCAGCTCTGAGATGTCAGTGCAGAGCCTGACATGGGGCTCAAACTCACAAACGGAGAGATCATGACCTGAGCTGAAGTCAGACAGTCAACCAACTGAGCCACCTAGGTGGCTGTCTTCTCCTTATCTTTCTGTGCCTTTATCTTGTCTGACTTTCAGCAATTCTGCCTGGATGACTTTATCTTCTGGTGCTGTCTCCTGAGCTTTCTTAAGTTCAGCCAATGCTTGATGGTATTCTTTTAATCCTGTCATCCTTGAGTTCTACAGTACAATGCTTTAGTATTTGATGGGTCTAGTTCAAGAGCTTCCAAGTAATTGTCAATTGATCCCTGCCAATTTGACATCTTCAGTTTATAAGCACCAATGTTCGGCATGCAATTTAAAGCTATAGGTTGCAGCTTCGATCTGTCTGCTTTCTTAGTAACAGCCATGAACGTTTCACATATCTTAAAACTTTTGTGTTTTCTTAGTGGCCATCTCCCGGTTCTGGGATTTGAAAAAAGTATTTATAATATTTTTTTTTAAGTTTTCTGTTATTAGTAAAATTTTATCTATATCTTTTAAGTCTCTATCTGCATCCTCAGGGAAATCTGGATGACTGTCACCAGAACATCTATTGGGAATACGTCCCAATCATTCCCCTCCTTCAATTCCCCACATTCTGTAGTAACACACAATTTGGCAGGTTTTTTACCTTTCACTTCTACATTTTCCAGTATCCTTGCCACACCCATTTCTTTAATTACTTGACCAAATACCACATGTTTCCTTCGAAATGAAGAGTGGGATCTGTTGTGATAAGAACTGAGAACCATTTTATCGCAGCCCACATTTGCCATGCTCAATAAACCTTCCTGGTTAAGCTTGTAAGAGAAATTTTCATCCTCCACCTGTCCCATAAATATTTTCTCCACCTGTCCCATTTTGTTTTGAGAAGTCTCTACCCTGAATCATAAATTTCTTAATAATTCGATGAAAAGGGCATCCTTGAAATGGAGAGGTTTCTGGTGGTGAGTCCAATGCCTTTTTCTCCTCTACACAATGCACAGAAATTTTCTACAGTTTTGGGTACAACATCTGCAAACAATTCTAAGACAATTCAACCAACTCACTGCCCTCCGATGTCCACGTCAAAGAAGACTCAGGGGTTGCTGGGGGTTGGAGGGCTTAGTTTTGGGGGATGGGTGTGACATTTTGAATTGCATATACACTTGGGAGAGAACTCAGAGAACCTTGTGGACACCTGGAAGCTCAACCCAAAAGTAACTTTCTCTCTCTCCCTCTCTCTCTCGTTTTGATTAATAATTACAGAAAAAAAGTTTTAAATTTCAAAAGTGGAAATATAAGGCAATTGAGAAAGTAAAATTGAAATCTTGTATTCATTTAACTTATGTTTACATAGTTTGGGTTATATTTAAATCTTTTTAAAAACTTTTTTTAGGGGCGCCTGGGTGGCGCAGTCGGTTAAGCGTCCGACTTCAGCCAGGTCACGATCTCGCGGTCCGTGAGTTCGAGCCCCGTGTCGGGCTCTGGGCTGATGGCTCAGAGCCTGGAGCCTGTTTCTGATTCTGTGTCTCCCTCTCTCTCTGCCCCTCCCCCGTTCATGCTCTATCTCTCTCTGTCCCAAAAATAAATAAACGTTGAAAAAAAAATTTTTTACAACTTTTTTTAGTGTTTATTTATTTTTTGAGAGAGAGACAGAGCATGAGTCAGGGAGGGGCAGAGAGCAAGGGAGACAGAATCCGAAGCAGGCTTCAGGCTCGGAGCTGTCAGCACAGAGCCCGATGTGGGGCTTGAACTCACAAACTGTGAGATCATGATCTGAGCCGAAGTCAGACTGAGCCATCCAGGTGCCCCTACTTTGGGTTATATTTAAATTAAAGAAACAATATATACAATGGAATATTACTCAACCATTAAAAATAATGAAATCTCGCCATTTGCAATGCCTGGATGCAGCTAGAGTGCATTATGCTTAGTGAAATAAGTCCATCAGAGAAAGACAAATACCATATGATTTCATTCATATGTAGAATTTAAGAAACAAAGCAGAAGAACATGTGGGAAGGGGAAAAAAAAGAAAGAGAGAAGCAAACCATAAGAGACTTTTAATGACAGAGAACAAACAGGGTTGCTGGGTGGGGAGATGGGCTAGATGGGTGATAGGCATTAAGGAAGCACTTGTGATGACGAGCACTGGGCGTTATATGTAAGAGATGAATCATGAAATTCTACTCTTGAAACCAGTATTACAGTATATGTTAACAAACTAGAATTTAAATAAAAACCTTAAAAAAAATAAACAAATTAAGAGTAAAATCAAGTCAGTTGAAAACATACATTTGGATGTAGTTTATTGTTTGTTGCTTTGTACTGCTATTTACTTAACCCACTATATACATTCTTCTTTAAAGAGATGATAAGTTTAGTGTATCAAGTAGTAGTAATTATATATTTAAATTTTCTATTCCTTGCATCATGGAAAATAAGAGATTCTAATTCTCTCCTACTATATAATTTCTAAAATACTAAATGACAAGAAAAGCCTAAAAATGTAAGAAAAATGCAGTGATAAACCCAAAGCTGGGCTTAGAGAGAAAAGTTATAAGCTATCAATAAAGTGTATTGATAATTGTGGCCTGGGGTTTTAGAGCACAATGGGACAAAGACTTGGGCACCTGATTAACAGGGAGCCAGACTAGAGGAGACCCTGCTATATTCAAGTAAAGAAAAAACTGTGGTCGTTGGGTATATCCAACTTTAGCCATCTCCAGTCATTGATGTGGGGAAGAATACCCAATTCTAACTCCCTTTAGCCATCTTGTCTCTCCTAATAGGGTAAGGAAGGAAGCTGAGAAGTGTATGCGAAGGTCATGGCCAGAGACACAGGTTCACTAAAAGGCTGAGACCTAATCATAGGATTATAGAACTCTTTCCCTTCCCTTCCCTTCTTTACTTCCATGTCAATAGAGCTCCTATGTAAAAGGGAATTCCAGCTGAAAGAAAAGGCCTCAGACCCCATTTTAAAAAGTCTCTAGGGAAACCCAAAGACACGAAGTGGAACAAGAACAAGGGTAGCTGAGAAAATTTTAGATTCTGACAAAAAAGCTACACAAATAATAAACAGCTAGATAAACATGACATCTTGAGCTAACGCCTATATGCCACAGTTTCTTTTACTGGAAAATTATGTCAAGGTTTCAACAAAAAATTCCAGGGCATGCTAAAATGTGAAAAAGACACTCTGAAGAAATAAAGCAAGCTTCAGAACCAGCTTCAGCTATGGGAGAGAGTTTGGAATTATCAGGCCAGAAATTTAAAATAACTATGATCGGGGCACCTGGGTGGCGCAGTCGGTTAAGCGTCCGACTTCAGCCAGGTCACGATCTCGTGGTCCGTGAGTTCGAGCCCCGCGTCAGGTTCTGGGCTGATGGCTCGGAGCCTGGAGCCTGTTTCCGATTCTGTGTCTCCCTCTCTCTCTGCCCCTCCCCCGTTCATGCTCTGTCTCTCTCTGTCCCAAAAATAAATAAACGTTGAAAATATAAATAAATAAAATAACTATGATTAATATGCTAAGGGCTCTACGGAAAAAAGTGGACAACATGTAAGAACAGGTGGGTAATATAAGCATAGAGGTAAAAATTCTAATAAAGAATCAAAAGATGTAACCTAGGTGTTATAGAAACATCAGAAGAAGGAGAAAGAAAGAAACAGAAGAAATATTTGAAATAATAATGACAGAAGTTTTCAAAATTAAAGACATCAAATAACAAAGATCCAGGAAACTTAGAACATCAAGCAGGATAAATACCAAAAGAAAATCTACACCTAGGAATATCATATAAAGGACACCATCAAAAGGTAAAGGAAGAGCCACAGATTTGAAGATATATGCCCTACATATAGCCAACAAAAACTCCATATTTGGAATATATATTTCAAAGTCCTCAAATCAATAAGAAATCACTCAGTAAAAAAATTGACAAAAGATATGAACTAGTAATGTAGTATAGAAGCGGTAAGCAGGATGCTAAGAAATATGAAGAGACTCATAAGTGCATTAAAATCAGGGAATTAAGGAGCGCCTGGGTGGCGCAGTCGGTTGAGCGTCCGACTTCAGCCAGGTCACGATCTCGCGGTCCGTGAGTTTGAGCCCCGCGTCGGGCTCTGGGCTGATGGCTCAGAGCCTGGAGCCTGTTTCCGATTCTGTGTCTCCCTCTCTCTCTGCCCCTCCCCCATTCATGCTCTGTCTCTCTCTGTCCCAAAATATAAATAAACGTTGAAAAAAAAAATTAAAAAAAAATCAGGGAATTAAAATTAATATTATAGAAATTTACTATTCTACACCTTTTAGAACAACAATTTTAAAAAAATGTTTGTTTACTTTGAGAGAGGTGTGTGTGTGTGGCAGGGGAGGGTGGGACAGAGAGGGAATCCCAAGCAGGCTCTGTCTCTGTCAGTGCAGAGACTGATGTGGGGCTCAATCTCATGAACTGTGAGATCATGACCTGAGCTGAAATCAAGAGTCATATGCTTAATCAACTGAGCCACCCAGGCACGCCTAGAGCAATAATTTTTTAAATATTTGATAATACCATGTGTTATCATGTATATGGAAAATGAGAAATCTTATTCAATGATGGTAAAAAGATAAACAGATACAACTACTTTTGTGAATGATCGGACAACATACATAAAGCTGATGATGCATAGATCCTATTTCCCAACAATGTCACTCCAGGGCACATACCTTGAAGAAATTCTGACATATTTTATGAGATTAGGGAGGCACTCAAGGGTTCATGTGTAAGGTTTCATTAAAAAAATATCTGAGGCAGATTTGTCAAAACACCATTCTTACATTCCTTAGCTGGCATAATGACAACGTCACAGTGGTGTCATCCAACAGTGAGCTTCTGTCTCGACCTTGCCCAAAGCTTTCACCATCTTCAAAGAGAAAACTGAATGGAGATTAAAAAAGATCATTATCTTAATGAGCACACAAAATCTGATTTATTGTTTCTTCTGCAAAATAAAATTTATTCTAAATCATCAATCCCTCATTAAAAAAATAAATAAATTTTAGACTTAATGGGTTAATTAAAAATATGTAATTGCTGGTTGAAATTTCACCCAACAATTCTTTTTAAATATAAGTTGACTTGGTTTGAATATAGTATACAAATATAAAGCATTTTAGGAACACAAGAGTAGGATTTATCCTCTTCGTTCATGCAGATTCAATGCTAAAATTACTCTCTTGATACTATTTATATGTGCTACTGAGGAAGTTTATATGAGTGAAAAATGATAAAAGAAGAAACATCACAATAGTAAATTCTCGAGAAAAAGGATAGTGAATAATAAATGCATAAAATATTTTTAGGATTTCAGAGAATTAATTTTGAGAATTTACATATACTTGGAATTTCCATCATCTTATATTCTGGTGTTCTGCTTAATTCAATGTGTGAGAAATATAACTGACTTAAAAATCAGTTTAAGAGGGAGAAAAAGTAGAGAACCAGTGATCTCTTCAAATAACCTAAAAATTTAACATGTGAAGAAAATATGACCAGCAGGCGATTTTCCTTGTTACCTACAATGAACAGATTTGTAATTATGTAAATGTATATTTACAAAATGTAAAATTAAAATTTAAAGCACTGGTGTAAACTCAGGAGATTGAGGTTCACATCTTTATGAATAAATATAAAGAGCAATGGAACAGTAACAACTTTGGTTCTTAGAGTTCTACTGTTAATTTAACTTTCAATCTAATTTATATGATGATGTCCAAGATATTATGCAGTTCTGCAGTTTTCTCAACAGTGATTTAGCACCATGCTGATTTCTAGGACAAGCAACAAAGCCATAGAGTACATTTACATTTACAAATGTAATTGGAAATAAAAAAGTTACTCATATTTATTAACTTTATTGAATATTACCATTCTTTTTTATAATTTTTTTAAATATGAAATTTATTGTCAAATTGGTTTGCATACAACACCCAGTGCTCATCCCTACAGGTGCCCTCCTCAATACCCATCACCCACCCACTCCTCCCTCCCACCGCTCATCAACCCTCTGTTCTCAGTTTTTAGGAGTCTCTTATGTTTTGGCTCCCTCCCTCTCTAACATTTTTTTTTTTTCCATCCCCTGCCCCATGGTCTTCTGTTAAGTTTCTCAAAGTCCCCATATGAGTGAAAACATATGGTATCTGTCTTTCTCTGTATGACTTATTTCACTTAGCATAACACTCTCCAGTTCCATCCACGTTGCTACAAAGGCCATATTTCATTCTTTCTCATTGCCACATAGTATTCCATTGTGTATATAAACCACAATTTCTTTATCCGTTCATCAGTTGATGGACATTTAGGCTCTTTCCATAATTTGGCTATTGTTGAAAATGCTGCTATAAACATTGGGGTGCAAATGCCCCTATGCATCAGCACTCCTGTATTCCTTGGTTAAATTCTTAGCAGTGCTATTGCTGGGTCATAGAGTAGACCTATTTTTAATTTTTTGAGGAACCTCCACACTGTTTTCCAGATCGGCTGCACCAGTTTGCATTTCCACCAACAGTGCAAGAGGGTTCCCGTTTCTCCATATCCTCTCCAGCATCAATAGCCTCCTGATTTGTTCATTTTAGCCATTCTGACTGGTGTGAGGTGGTTATCTGAGTGTGGTTTTGATTTGTATTTCCCTGATGAGGAGCGATGTCGAGCATCTTTTCATGTGCCTGTTGGCCATCTGGATGTCTTCTTTAGAAAAGTGTCTATTCACGTTTTCTGCCCACGTTTTCACTGGATTATTTGTTTTTCGGGTGTAGAGTTTGGTGAGTTCTTTATAGATTTTGGATACTAGCCCTTTATCTGATAGGTCATTTGCAAATATCTTTTCCCATTCTGTCGGTTGCCTTTTAGTTTTGTTGCCTGTTTCCCTTGCTGTGCAGAAGCTTTTTATCTTCATGAGGTCCCAATAGTTCATTTTTGCTTTTAATTCCCTTGCCTTTGGGGATGTGTCAAGTAAGAAATTGCTGTCGCTGAGGTCAGAGGGATTTCTTCCTGTTTTCTCCACTAGGGTTTTGATGGTTTCCTGTCTCACACTCAGGTCCTTTATCCATTTTGAGTTTATTTTGTGAATGCTGTAAGAAAGTGGTGTAGTTTCATCCTTCAGCATGTTGCTGTCCAGTTCTCCCAACACCATTTGTTAAAAAGACTGTCTTTTTTCCATTGGATATTCTTTCCTGCTTTGTCAAAGATTAGTTGGCCATACTTTTGTGGGTCTAATTCTGGGGTTTCTATTCTATTCTGTTGGTCAATGTGTCTCTTTTTGTGCCAATACCATGCTGTCTTGATGATTACAGCTTTGTAGTAGAGGCTAAAGTCTGGGATTGTGATGCCTCCCGCTTTGGTCTTCTTCAAAATTACTTTGGCTATTTGGGGTCTTTTATGGCTCCATACAAATTTTAGGATTGCTTGTTCTAGCTTTGAGAAGAATGCTGGTGCAATTTTGATTGGGATTGCATTGAATGTGTAGATAGCTTTGGTGGTATTGACATTTTAACAATATTTATTCTTCCAACCCATGAGCACGGAAAGTTTTTCCATTTCTTTATATCTTCAATTTCCTTCATAAGCTTTCTATAGTTTTCAGGATACAGATCTTGTACATCTTCGGTTAGATTTATTCCTAGGTATTTTATGCTTCTTGGTGCAATTGTAAATGGGATCAGTTTCTTTCTTTGTCTTTCTGTTGCTTCATTATTAGTGTATAAGAATGCAACTGATTTCTGTACATTGATTTTGTATCCTGCGACTTTGCTGAAATCATGGATCAATTCTAGCAGACTTTTGGTGGAGTCTATCGAGTTTTCCATGTATAATATCATGTCATCTGCAAAAAGTGAAACCTTGACTTCATCTTTGCCAATTTTGATGCCTTTGATTTCCTTTTGTTGTCTGTTTGCTGATGCTAGCACTTCCAACACTATGTTAAACAAGAGCGGTGAGCGTGGACATCCCTGTCATGTTCCTGATCTCAGGGGAAAGCTCTCAGTTTTTCGCCATGGAGGAGGATATTCGCTGTGGGCTTTTCATAAATGGCTTTTATGATGTTTAAGTATGTTCCTCCTATCCCGACTTTCACGAGGGCTTTTATTAAGAAAGCATGCTGAATTCTGTCAAATGCTTTTTCTGCATCGATTGACAGGATCATATGGGTCTTATCTTTTCTTTTATTGATGGGTTGTATCACATTGATTGATTTGTGAATGTTGAAGCAGCCCTGCAGCCCAGGAATGAATCCCACTTGATCATGGTGAATAATTCTTTTTATATGCTGGTGAATTCGATTTGCTAGTATCTTAGAGAATTTTTGTATCCTTATTCACCAGGATATTGGCCTGTAGTTCTCTTTTTTTACTGGGTCTCTGTCTGGTTTAGGAATCAAAGTAATTCTGGCTTCATAGAATGAGTCTGGAAGTTTTCCTTCCCTTTCTATTTTTTGGAATAGCTTGAGAAGGATAGGTATTATCTCTGCTTTAAATGTCTGGTAGAATTCCCCAGGGAAGCCATCTGGTCCTGGACTCTTATTTGTTGGAAGATTTTTGACAACTGATTCAATTTCTTTGCCAGTTATGGGTCTGTTCAAGTTTTTTTATTTCTTCCTGAGTTTTGGAAGTATGTGGGTGTTTAGGAATTTGTCCATTCCTTCCAGGTTGTCCAGTTTGTTGGCATATAATTTTTCATAGTATTCCCTGATAACTGCTTGTATTTCTGAGGGATTGGTTGTAATAATTCCATTTCCATTCATGATTTTATCTATTTGGGTCATCTCCCTTTTCTTTTTGAAAAGCCTGACTAGAGGTTTATCAATTTTGTTTATTTTTTCAAAAAACCAACTCTTGGTTTCATTGATCTGCTCTACAGTTTTTTTAGATTGTATATTGTTTATATCTGCTCTGATCTTTAGTGTTTCTCTTCTTCTGCTGGGTTTGGGGTGTCTTTGCTGCTCTGCTTCTATTTCCTTTAGGTGTGCTGTTAGATTTTGTATTTGGGATTTTTCTTGTTTCTTGAGATAGGCCTGGATTGCAATGTATTTTCCTCTCAGGACTGCCTTTGCTGCATCCCAAAGCGTTTGGATTGTTGTATTTTCATTTTCGTTTGTTTCCATATATTTTTTAAATTTCTTCTCTAATTGCCTGGTTGACCCATTCATTCTTTAGTAGGGTGTTCTTTAACCTCCATGCTTTTGGAGGTTTTCCAGACTTTTTCCTGTGGTTGATTTCAAGCTTCATAGCATTGTGGTCTGAAAGTATGCATGGTATGATCTCAATTCTTGTATACTTATGAAGGGCTGTTTTGTGACCCAGTATGTGATCTATCTTGGAGAATGTTCCATGTGCACTTGAGAAGAAAGTATATTCTGTTGCTTTGGGATGCAGAGTTCTAAATATATCTGTCAAGTCCATCTGCTCCAATGTATCATTCAGGGCCCTTGTTTCTTTATTGACCGTGTGTCTAGATGATCTATCCATTGTTGTAAGTGGGGTGTTAAAGTCCCCTGCAATTACCACATTCTTATCAATAAGGTTGCTTATATTTGTGAGTAATTGTTTTATATATTTGGGGGCTCCCGTATTTGGCGCATAGACATTTATAATTGTTAGTTCTTCTTGATGGATAGACCCTGTAATTATTATATAATGTCCTTCTTCATCTCTTGTTACAGCCTTTAAAGTCTAGTTTGTCTGATATAGGTATGGCTATTCCAGCTTTCTTTTGACTTCCAGTAGTATGATAGATAGTTCTCCATCCCCTCACTTTCAATCCTAAAGTGTCCTCAGGTCTAATCTGAGTCTCTTGTAGACAGCAAACAGATGGGTCTTGTTTTTTTATCCATTCTGATACCCTATGTCTTTTGGTTGGTGCATTTAGTCCATTTACATTCAGTGTTATTATAGAAAGATATGGGTTTAGAGTCATTGTGATGTCCGTAGGTTTCATGCTTGTAGCGATGTCTCTGGTACTTTGTCTCACAGGATCCCCCTGAGGATCTCTTGTAGGGCTGGTTTAGTGGTGACAAATTCCTTCAGTTTTTGTTTGTTTGGGAAGACCTTTAGCTCTCCTTCTATTCTAGATGACAGATTTGCTGGGTAAAGGATTCTCGGCTGCATATTTTTGTGTTCATCACATTGTAGATTTCCTGCCATTCCTTTCTGGCCTGCCAAGTTTCAGTAGATAGGTCTGTCACTAGTTTATTGGTCTCCCTTTATACGTTAGAGCGTGTTTATCCCTAGCTGCTTTCAGAATTTTCTCTTTATCCTTGTATTTTGCCAGTTTCACTATGATATGTCATGCAGAAGATGGATTCAAGTTCCGTCTGAAGGGAGTTCTCTGTGCCTCTTGGATTTCAATGCCTTTTTCCTTCCCCAGATCAGGGAAGTTCTCAACTATGATTTGTTCAAGTACACCTTCAGCCCCTTTCTCTCTCTCTTCCTCTTTTGGAATTCCTATTATACGGATATTGTTCCATTTCATTGCATCACTTAGTTCTCTAATTCTCCCCTCAAACTCCTGGATTTTTTTTATCTCCATTTTTCTCAGCTTCCTCTTTTTCCATAATTTTATCTTCTAATTCACCTATTCTCTCCTCTGCCTCTTCAATCTAAGCCGTGGTTGCCTCCATTTTTATTTTGCACCTCATTTATAGCATTTTTTTTTTAGCTCTCATGACTATTTCTTAGTCCCTTGATCTCTGTAGCAATAGATTCTTTGCTGTCCTCTGTACTTTTCTCAAGCCCAGCTATTAATTTTATGACTATTATTGTAAATTCACGTTCTGTTATATTGCTTAAATCGTTTTTGATCAATTCGTTAGATGTCTCTACTTCCTGGAGTTTTTTTGAGGATAATTCTTCCGTTTTGTCACTTTGGATAGTCCCTGGGGTGGCGCAGAACTGCAGGGCACTTCCCCTGTGCTGCCTGGAGTAACTTGTGTTGGAGGGTGGGGCCGCAGTCCGACCTGATGTCTGTCCCCAGCCCACCGCTGGGGCCACAGTCAGATTGGTGTGTACCTTGTCTTCCCCTCTCCCAGGGGCAGGACTCACTGTGGAGTGGTGTGGCCCCTGTCTGGGCTACTTGCACACTGCCAGGTTTGTGGTGCTGCTTTGATGGGAACTGGCCTATTAGCCAGGGTGGATCGGCAAGGTGCACAGGGGCGGGAGGGGCAGACTTAGGTCACTTTGCCCATGGTGGTCCCCTGTAGGAGGGGCCCTGAAGCACCGGGAGGGAGGCAGACTGACCCGTCGGAGGGATGGATTCACAGGAGCCCAGTGTTGGGTGTTTGTGTGGTGCAAGCACGTTCGGTGATGGTAACTGGTTTCCTCTGGGATTTTGGCTGGGGTATGGGAGAGGGAGATGGCGCTTCCCAGCGCCTTTGTTCCCTGCCAAACTGAGCTCTGTCTTCTGGGGCTCAACACCTCTCCCTCCCACTCTCTGAGCAAGGCTGTTGACTTATAATATTCCAGATGTTAAGTCCCGCTGGCTGTCAGAACTCACCCAGTCCGGCCCCTCTGCTTTTGCAAGCCAGACTCGGGGTTCTGTCTTGCCTGGCGGGCTGCCCCTCCACTGCCCCGGCTCCCTCCCGCCAGTCCGTGTAGCATGCACCGCCTCTCCGCCCTTCCTACCCTCTTCCGTGGGCCTCTTGTCTATGCTTGGCTCCTGAGAGTCCATTCTACTAGTCTTCCAGCAGTTTTCTGGGTTATTTAGGCAGATGTAGGTGGAATCTAAGCCTTGAATATTACTATTCTTTCTGACGTCTACATTTTTCATTTATTGAACATCAATTATTGCAAGATATTCTATGATAATAGGGTTATGTCAAATAGATCATATGGCAAATTATTTTTTTAAAAATAGTACTTATTAAAAATAATAAAATATTAATGGGAAGTCTGCAATTAGAAGCTCCAATCAAGAAAACAAGGTATTGACTTCCAATTGCTTTCATAATTACTTAGCTGGAATGTCTACCAAAAAAAATCCCAAATTAAAAAAAAACGTTAGTATCAAATTTTTTTCATTTCCAAGAGAAGCTTTCTTTCCTTACTTGGGAAGTGTGCAGATAGGTGGTTTGGATCGAATGATTTCCTTGTTGACAAGCTCCTTCTCCAAGTCACCTCCAGCTAAACACCAAAGGTAATATACTTCTTCAATAGATCTTTCTGCCAGGTAATCACTGTTTACATCTATTAATGGCAAATGGAAAAGAATCATAGCTCTCACACTTTCTGTTTTTATTAAAAGGCAACAGGCAATAATAGCTGACATTCTCAACAAATACTAATTGAAGAACACAGTATGAGTCCCTTTAGAAGATTCATACTATACAATTCACAAAGGATGAAATGAGGATATACACATTGAATGTACATTCAGTTACTCTGAGAAGAAGAGTGGAATTTTTACCTTCTATATCAGAGATATATGGGATATATAATCCATACATGTATCAGATATATCGGGTTCTGTGGGAAAGGGATACAGGCCAAAAAAGGCAGCTTGTGTGGGTAACTAACACAAACTATCCCATCCTTCGTATCTTGAGGCAATAGCTGCCTCTTCTTTTTTTAAAAAAAAAATTTTTTTTTTTCAACGTTTATTTATTTTTGGGACAGAGAGAGACAGAGCATGAACGGGGGAGGGGCAGAGAGAGAGGGAGACACAGAATCAGAAACAGGCTCCAGGCTCTGAGCCATCAGCCCAGAGCCCGACGCGGGGCTCGAACTCCCGGACCGCGAGATCGTGACCTGGCTGAAGTCGGATGCTTAACCGACTGCGCCACCCAGGCGCCCCAATAGCTGCCTCTTCTGAAGAGCTTTTCTTGATGTCTCAAGCAGGATATGATTCCACTGTACTATGTTCATACTGACCCTTACTAATAATAGTAAATAAATGTTTATCTGCCTCTCCATTTGGTATGAATATTATATGGTGGTGGGGTGCCTGAGTGGCTCAGTCAGTTAAGTGTCCGACCTCAGCTCAGGTCATGATCTCATGGTTCATGAATTTGAGCCCTGCATTGGGCTCTCTGCTGTCAACATGGAGCCCACTTCAGATCCTCTGTCCCCCTCTTTCTCTGCCCCTGCTCCACTCATTTTCTCTCTCTCTGAAAATAAATAAATAAACTTAAAAAAATGCTACGTGAATAGCAGTTATATAACTACAATATACACATACATAATTATATATATATTTGATAAACATAAAACTGAAAATACAGTAAGGATATTTCCTTTAAATATAAGGCTTATATTATTTTCTGTCTTATCTATCATTACCTTTACACAGCTGGCTGATATCCTCAGGCAGAGTTAAATCAGCACATCTTAGAGAAGATGAAAACAGACTGGCAGGTTTGGTAAAGGGAGTATATAAAGGTGACACTTCACTGAATACCTTGTCCTGCATTAATTCATCTGCAGTTGGCCTTGAGAAAAATTTAAAACACAGACTATGAATGAAGTCATTAAAAATCTGCTAGAATAATGGCACACATTCAAGAGGATGTTTTAAAAAGTTAAAGGAATAGTTAAAAGTCTTAAATATATCATAAGTAAAGAAAATAATAATAAAACTCTCCTTAGCAGAATCTTGATGTATACTTTTATATAAAAAGTGACTATAAGTAAATGCTGAATTTTCCCCCATATTGTGCTTTTTGTACCTTATGATCTATCTAAGATTATATACGAGCTTCTCCATTTTTTACTTTTATCTTGACTATTATGTGCTTCCTTTACTGAATATCTTAATTAAAATTCTTTTTTTTTTTTTTTCAACGTTTATTTATTTTTGGGACAGAGAGAGACAGAGCATGAACGGGGGAGGGGCAGAGAGAGGGAGACACAGAATCGGAAACAGGCTCCAGGCTCTGAGCCATCAGCCCAGAGCCCGACGCAGGGCTCGAACTCACGGACCGCGAGATCGTGACCTGGCTGAAGTTGGACGCTTAACCGACTGCGCCACCCAGGCGCCCCTAAAATTCTAAACTAATAATCATCTAAACTAATAATTTTTCTCCTTTTATTAATATACATTAGAGGCATAGCTAATAGTTATGATACTAATATCAATTTTGTATTCCTGTATGTATGCAAATATTCTTATTTAATCCATTAGTATAATAACTAATAAAAAACCACAACTACTTATACATCAGGGGCATTTGGGTGGCTCAGTCGGTTGAATGTTTGACTCTTGATTTTGGCTCAGGTCATGATTTCACACTCATGAGATTGACTCCTGCATCAGGCTCTGTGCTGGGTGTGGAGCCTGCCTAAGATTTGCTCTATCTCTCTCCCTCTCTCTCTCTCCCTCCCCATTCTCTCTCTCTTAAAAAAAAAAAAAAAAAGAAAAAAGAAAAGAAAAGAAAAAGAAAGAAAAAACCCACAACTATTTATATATTCAAGATCTCAGTATAATCTCAAAGTCTTAATAATAATATCAACCTCTTGGAAGGGTGGAAGGTGAGACACTTCTTCAAAAGATCTATCACATTTTCAGGAAGGTCCTGGTAAATAAAAAGAGAAAAGAATTATTTAAAATGACCCATTTAAAAAATACATTTTACTCAAATGTTTACTATTCTAGAGCACTTTGAGTTTTTCTAAATTGTCTTTATTTGGGCTTTATACTAATTTACATTAGATTGTCACTCTATAAAAAAGCAAATTATCTGAAAAGAAATACATATAGCTTTAAAATAGTTTGCTGTTAGATCCCAAGTATACAGAATACATCAATTTTCAATAACAGATTAATGCCAAACCTTTATAATGTCCAGACAACCATGTTCTTCAGCCAGAACTATTATAGTGTCATCTACGCAATCTATAACACAAAAAATTTGTATGAATTAATGCTGCTTTTCTTATCTATCAGATTAAATAGGAACTTAACTCTGATAGTTTTTTGTTTTTTGTTTTTTTTAATTTTTTTTTTCAACGTTTATTTATTTTTTGGGACAGAGAGAGACAGAGCATGAACGGGGGAGGGGCAGAGAGAGAGGGAGACACAGAATCGGAAACAAGCTCCAGGCTCCGAGCCATCAGCTCAGAGCCCGACGCGGGGCTCGAACTCACGGACCGCGAGATGGTGACCTGGTTGAAGTCGGACGCTTAACCGACTGCGCCACCCAGGCGCCCCTCTGATAGTTTTTTAAAAAATGTGTTATGCAGTTTTGGAACTTGGAATATTAAGAAGCTTGTGACTTTGTCCTTACATGTTTCCTTACAGGTTTTGATAAAAATACTTTAAACACTAAATATTAACTGAATTACAGATACTGAAAGATAGTAGCTTAAAAAGTGAAATAAAGCAGTGATTCAAAATGAAGATTCTCCTGTTCTCTCTCTCTTGCTCTCTTCTCCCTGTACGTGTAATATACATATATTTATATTTATATTTATATTTATATTTATATATACACACACACATATTACTCTTTTGTATATATACAATTTGGAGAATGTACACACATCTCTAAGGATTTATAGTACAAATTTTTACAATCCCTATCAAAATACCTACAGCATTTTTCACAGAACTAGAACAAATAATCCTAAAATCTGTATGGAGCTACATAAGACCCTGAATAGTCAAAACAATCTGAAAAAAGAAGAACAAACCTAGGGGGTGTTATAATCTTAGATTTCAAGATTTCATTTTTTTTTTTTTTGTAGTAACAAAGCTGTAGTAATCAAAACAATATGATACTGGCACAAAAACAGACACATATCAGTGAAAAAGAATAGAGAGCCCAGAAATAAACTCATGCTTACATGGCCCATTAGTCTTTGACAAAGGAGGCAAGAATATGAAATGGGAAAAAATGTTGGGAAAACTGGACAGCTAAATGCAAAAGAATGAAACGGGACCACTTTCTCACACCATATAGAAAAACTAAAACCAGATTAATGACCTAAATGTGAGACCTGAAACCATAAAAATTATAGAAGAGAAGATAGGCAGGAATTTCTGTGACATCGGCTGAACCACATCTTTCTAGATATGTCTCCTGAGGCAAGGGAAACAAAAGCCAAAATAAACTATTGGGACACTACATTAAAATAAAAAGCTCTGCACAGTGAAGGTAGTAATTAACAAAAATAAAAGATAATCTATTGAATGGGTGAAGATATTTGCAAATGATCTATCTGATAAAGGGTTAGTATCCAAAACATATAAAGAACTTACACAAATCTTGGATCACTATATTGTACGCCTGAAACTAATATACCCTGTATGTTAACTATCCTGGAATTTAAGTAAAATAAAATAATTAAAAAAAGAACTTATATGGGGCGCCTGGGTAGCGCAGTCGGTTAAGCGTCCGACTTCAGCCAGGTCACGATCTCACGGTCTGTGAGTTCGAGCCCCGCGTCAGGCTCTGGGCTGATGGCTCGGAGCCTGGAGCCTGTTTCTGATTCTGTGTCTCCCTCTCTCTCTGCCCCTCCCCCGTTCATGCTCTGTCTCTGTCTGTCCCATAAATAAATAAAAAAACGTTGAAAAAAAATTAAAAAAAAAAAAAAAAGAACTTATACAATTCAACACCAAAAAAAAAAATAATAATCCAATTAGAAAACTGGGGAGAAGACATGAACAGACATTTCTTCAAGAAGACATACAGATGGCCAACAGAGACACAAGGAAAATGCTCAATATCACTGTTATCAGGGAAATACAAAGCAAAACCACAATGAGGTATTACTGCATACCAGTCAGAATGGCTAAAATCAAAATCAGAAGAAACAACAAGTGTTGGCAAAGATGTGGAAAAAAGGAACTCTTGTGCACTGTTGGTGCAATGCAAACTGGTACAGCCACTGTGGAAAACAGCATGAAGGTTTCTCAGAAAATTAAAAATAAAAGTACCATATGATTTAGTAATCCCAGTATTGGGTATATACCCAAAGAATATGAAAACGCTAATTCAAAAAAATATATGCAGCCCTATCTTATTGCGGTATTATTTATAAGAGCCAGATTATGGATGCAGCCCAAGTGTCCATCAATAAATGAATGGATAACAAAGATGTGGTGTATATATACACAATGTAATATTACTTAGCCATAAAAAAGAATGGAATCTTGCCATTTGCCACAATGTGGATGGATCTAGAGAATACAATGCTAGGTGAAACAAGTCGAAGAAAGACAAATACCATGATTTCACTCATATGTAGAATTTAAGAAACCAAACAAATGAAGAAAAAAAAGAGACAAGTAAAACAAAACAGACTCTTAGTATAGAGAACAGACTGATGGTTCCCAGAGGGGAATTAATGCTGCTTTTCTTATCTATCAGATTAACTGGGAACTGAACTCTGATAATTACCAGAGGGGAGGTAGGTGGGAGGATAGATGAAAACAGAGGAAAAGGATTAAGAGTATATTTATCATGATGAGCACTGAGTAATATACAGTATTGCTTAATCACTATATTGTATACCTGAAACAGTTTAACACTGTATGTTAACTACACTGGACTTAAAAAAAAAAAAGAAATAATAGAGTTCAGGGCACCTGAGTGGCTCAGTTAAGTGCCTGGCTCTTGATTTCACTCAGGTCATGATCTCACAGTTCAGTCTGTGGGATCCAGCCCTGCATCAGACTCCATGCTGTCAGGGTGGAGTCTGCTTGGGATTCTCTCTCTTCCTCTCTCTCTGCCCCTCCCCCATTTGCATGTGTGCTCCCACTCTCTCTCAAAATACAAATAAACATTAAATATATATTAAAAAATAATAAAGTATAAGTTTAGTTTGTAGACCATATTAAGAAATCTCTAAGACTCTTTAATAGTCTTATTATCAATTGCTTAAATTAAATGTTGTAAATATGGTAAAATTTAATGCAGTTATATTTATAATTCATTATTATTCAATATTTATTAACACTTTTCTATATATATATTCTTACTTACAAACCCTATTAACCTGGACAGCAATCTGTCACTCTTTCATATGAAGTGCTCTATCACTGTTTTTATCTCCTTTATTACCACACATGCTTAATTTATTCCACTCTAAAATAGATTACATAAATTTTTGTAAACTTGGATTAAAACATTAGGATCTAATATACATGTAAAATAAATGAGCTTGTTAAAAGAAAAAATAAACATTCTTCCCAGTCATTATTCACACATGATTCATCAAACAGAAAGCTCAAAATTTAAGATATATTATCAGAAGGTAAATTGCTACAGAGAAGTATAACTTTATATTCTCATTTTTTGATTTCACAACTTAGTTTACTTGGCTAGATCACGAAGCTAAGATAATATCTATCTACATTATAATTCCGTAATGAATAAGGAAAACACTAAAATATTTCAGAAAGCACTTCTTAAGTTTGTACTGTTAATGCTTACCACTGATCATTAGAAAATTTAAAAAGTCAGGATATTTCAGTGTATTCACTATTTTAGAACACATTATTGTGTATGCTTACTAAAAGTCACAAAAGATAATATTTATATTTGAAAAATAATCCATTGTGAGACACTTACCTAATGTAAGCAAAAATTTTAGTCTTTCAGAAATATCCAAGCTTTGAAATAATTTTCTTCCCTAAATAAAATAGGAAAAGAAATTTGAAGAATTTGTGTTAACATTTACATCATTCTTCAGGAAGGTATTTTTTTTTCCCCAGAGCTGAAAATGATTTTCTCAGGTACCTCTTTTTCTCTTCAGAGGTTTTATTTGACTTTTAGATTTTAGAGTTAGCTCCATTAAAGAAGAATCATTGGTTTAACATTTAAACATTTCACATATCTAAGGATCAATTACATTCTTATTTGGTCTGAAGCATTCCTCATTTTAGAGACCTACATATACCTGGTTGTCTAGAGAGATTCCAGGACACAGGGAGTCTTATTTGATTAAGAGACCAAGATGGCCCCTTGGAAAGAGACATATTATCCTTACATTTACCTAACTAATTCTTACTTCTATATCATATGAAATCCAGGTAATCTGTTGTCTCCATTAAGAAACATTCCATGATATTCCTTCCTCCCACAATGAATTAGACAACCATCCTTTGTGCTCCCATAGCACCTGGTACATTTATTTTAAGACACATACATTGTATTTTAGTTGTTTTCTTATTAGTCAGCTTCGGCGGGGGGGGGGAGGGTTGGGGGGGGGCTGCTTGACATAGTCTGAAATCACTTAAAACTTCAACAATTATGTGTTGAGCATTTGTGTGCCAAATTGGACTTTCAACCACAAGTTATATAACTTGGGCAAATTACTCAACCACTTCAAGTTTTACTTTTCTCATTTATAAAACTGGAATATTAACTGTATATGATACACAGGTTGCAATGAGGATTATACAATGTATGAAAAAGTGCTTGGCATTTATTGCACACAGAAATGCCTTCATAAATGTTGGTAATTATGTTTCCTTTATCATAAACAAATTAAACTTATAGGATTCTTTAAGTAGACTTAGAGGGAAAGGCTTACAGGGTGCCTGGGTAGCTCAGTTGGTTGAACATCCGACTATTGATTTCAGCTCAGGTCATGATCTCACAGTCATGAGATTGAACCCCACATTGGGCTCAGCGCTGAGTGAGGAGCCTGCTTGGGATTCTCTCTCTCCTCTCTCTCTGCCCTTTCCCTGCTTGTGCACTCTCTCTCTCTCTCTCAAAATAAACAAATAAACATTTTAAAAAAGGAAGAAAAGGCTTAAGAATATACCTTGGTCTTTACGTGGAGGAAAAAAAAAACTTCTTTTTTAAGAGAGAGCAAAAACTTTCTTAAACATTTATGAAATTAGAACTACAGGTGGAGAGATCATTGAAAGAAAAAGTTGCCATTCCTGTCTCAATTTCTTACACTACTATCTTATTAATCTTCTAGATATGCAGGTTTGACTTTATCAATATCTTATTTAAAAACTTTAAATGGTCCTACATACCGTATATAACTAAATATAAACTTCTCAATTCAGCAATCAAAGTCTTCTAGGATATGGCTCCAATATATCTTTTTTTTTTTTAATTTTTTTTTCAATGTTTTTTATTTATTTTTGGGACAGAGAGAGACAGAGCATGAACAGGGGAGGGGCAGAGAGAGAGGGAGACACAGAATCGGAAACAGGCTCCAGGCTCCGAGCCATCAGCCCAGAGCCTGACGCGGGGCTCGAACTCACGGACCGCGAGATCGTGACCTGGCTGAAGTCGGACGCTTAACCGACTGCGCCACCCAGGCGCCCCCCAATATATCTTTTCAATCTAAGTGCTTACTATTTATCTACGTATGATGAACACACACACACACACACACACACACACACACACACACACGAAGCAGTTCAATTTGATTACTTGCAATACAGTGAGCACACTCTGCCTGTTCAGGCATACAGACTCTGACTCAGGTTATTTCCCTACCAGTAGTTTTTTTTCTTCATGGCTATCAAATTTTTGTATATATCCTTTATTTCATTCCCACTCCTGAATGTTAATTTTGTGAATTAAAGAATTCAAAATTCAAATTACTTCTCTCAGCACTTTGATGGCATTATACCACTGCTTTCTTACTTCCAAGCTACTAAGAAGTTTAATGCCAATCTCATTCCTGGTAGGTAGTATGTCTTTTCTCTCCAACACATTTGAAGATTTTCTCATTAACAGTGATAAAGACATCAGAGCTTAGTGAAGGAAGCTTGGTGTGTTAGTTAAGAGTCCAGCTTTGCATATAGTTGATGGGTACAAATTTGCTCAAGTACTTACTATTGTGTAACTAAGACGGGTTGCTTAATTTCTTTGTACCTCAATTTCCTGATCTGTAAACTAAAGATAATAATTAAATTTTATAAGACTGGTGTGAGTATTGACTAAAATAATAGATGTAAAGAGATTAGAAAAGTACCTGATTCTTGAAAAGTTCTCCATAAATGTTACTTATTATTTCATTATTGGTTATTCTAAAAGTAGAGTATATGATTTCAAGGTATTTGTTGTTGTTTTTTTGTTGTTGTTGTATGTTGTGATTTTTTTTCCCATTTGCCCTGCAAGGTAATTAGTGGGTTCTTTGAAACCAAGGGCTTTAGTCTTGGTTTCTAATACAACTATATAACAAATATTAGAACATCTGGATCTATCTTCCCTGTCTTTTAAAATTTCTACAGGACGCCTGGGTGGCCTGAGTCGGTTAAGTGGCCAACTTCGGCTCAGGTCATGATCTCACGGTCCGTGGGTTCGAGCTCCGCTTCGGGCTCTGTGCTGACAGCTCAGAGCCTGGAGCCTGTTTCAGATTCTGTGTCTCCCTCTCTCTGACCCTCCCCCGTTCATGCTCTGTCTCTCTCTGTCTCAAAAATAAATAAACATTAAAAAAAATTAAATTTCTTTTATATTTTCAACTTCTTTATTTCTTTGTGACATATTCTGGGAGAATTACTCAGCTTCATCTTCTATGTTCAGTGTGTCTCGTTTCTTATGATCCATCTCTTTAGTTCTTTATTTCAATAGTTACATTTTTTTTCCTTAAAACCCTTAACTGGTTCTTGTTCTTTTCAGCAAATGTTCTTGACTCAGAGTTTCTATTATTGTTTCACAAATGGCATTGTTTTCTTTATCTCCTAAAAAACATGTACATTTATTTTAAAGTCCTTTCAATGGTGTAAATTCTTCTTGTTGCTTCTTTTTTATTGTAGATGTATGTATTTATTGCATGTATCATATTGTAGATGTATTGTTTTAGGTGTTTGGTATTTCTTAGAAATGTTCTCACCTCTTAATACAAATTTTCCTATACATCTTTTGGACTATGGAAACTTCTGGGTGGCACAGTGGCTGTATTGCCTTTCTGGTGATATGGTAAGAGCTTCCTAGCAAAACGGCTTTGGTATAGCCTCTCATCTATTTCCTAGGATTTTTAGCATACCAAAAGTTCCCTTTTTAGTTGTTAGTGTGCTATTAATTTATATCTTAATATTTTATATCAATTCTAAAGGTTTGATGAAGTAGGAAGATTTAAGCTTATATTCAGTATGCCATTCTAAAACTAGACTGTGTAAACGTAAGTATCACTTAAAATGTCATGAAGTCCGTATTATGAAATGAATATTTCCTTTCTTGGAATTCACATAGCTTTTCTGAGTTTATCTTCTAAGTTTATGGATTTGAATTAAATTATAAGCTTCTTGACAATGTGTCCTAAACACAGTTTATCTCTTGCTGCATTTGTCATGATGCTATACATACAGTAAATACTCATCTACATTTGTTGAACTGAATTACTCACAGGACATATACCCTGATCATTAATACAGAGTTTAGATATAGGTTACGTAATAAAAAGGAAAAGTTGTACATTTCAAATTTACACTTCCATATACTTCACATTCACATTTCAATAAGATTTTTCATTTAGGCTATGACTTTTTAAAAAGTTTTTTAATGTTTATTTATTTTTGAGAGAGAGACAGAGTGTGAGTGGGTAAGGGGCAGAGAGAGGGAGACACAGAATCCAAAGCAGGCTCCAGGCACTGAGCTGTCAGCACAGAGCGTGATGCGGGGCTCAAACTCACGAACCACGAGATCATGACCTGAGCCGAAGTCGGATGCTTAACCAACTGAGCCACCCAGGTGCCCCTAGGCTATGATTTTAAACAACAATGAGATTTATCATTATTTCATACCAATGAAAACTAAAATGGTCTAGACAGAGAATAGCAAAGAATCAGAAAATCTGGTATTTTCCCTTAGAAAAAGCTGTGCCAACAGGTAAACTACCATGTTATTATGAATATTATGATTTTAATCATAAAATATTTTTCCTAATCATAAAATATTGTAATATCATAATAAAAGATAACATCCAGGGACCATTTGCTATATAACATACTATACTAAGTACTTTATATATATGTATTATTTCATTTTTCCAACAATTATACAGTATAGATGAAAAATTTCTGCTTCTAAAGATCTCATTGTCCAAGTAAAGTAGGCACATGTGACACATGTCATAACAGAAGAGCAAAGAAGATAAGGACCTAATGCTGGTAGTTATTTAGAAGCAGGATTGACAGATCGTTAGTTGTTCCTCCAAAATTATTTTCATCTTGGCCATGACAGGCTGTTTTTTGTCCCTCTAAATTCATTCTCATCTTCTTCCTCAATATTTATGTGTCCAGCTAAGACTACATTTCTTAGTCTCCCTTGTACCTATAACGTAGCCACTTAAGTAAACTGTCACAATGAAAAGTAGAGTTGATATCTGCACTTTTAGATCATTGTTTTTAAAAATTATTTTTCATGTTTATTTATTTATTTTGAGAGAAAGAACATGAGCAGGAGAGGGGCAGAGAGAGAGGAAGAGGGAGAATCCCAAGCAGGCTCAGCACTGTCAGTGCGGAGCCCAATGCAGGGCTTGATTTCATGAACCATGAGATCACGACCTGAGCCAAAATCAAAAGCTGGATTCTCAATGACTGAGACACCCAGGTACCCAGATCATCTTCTTAAAGACAGTACCATGAACTCACTCCCCTCCTTCCCTATGGCTAAACATGGTGATAAAGAAATCGGTTTTGGAAACCAGACATTTGAGACTGACAGAGCCAAATTCTGGATTTCCGCATGGTGTGGAGTGTTACAAGAGGCAGGAAAACACCTATGTTCTCTAAGCTACTATATTTTTAAGTTCTTTCTTTTTAATATCAGCTTAGTCTTTGCCCTAATAAATAAAGAGGGTATCTAGGAAAGGTCTCATGAAACATAAGTCCACTACAAAGTGAGTCTTCTAGAAAATATAAGAGAACAGGAGAGAAGAAGGTATTTAGGGAAGAAAGAATACCACAGAATGGAGAGAGAGCATGCAAAGAGTATAAGCAGCTTTAGAGTAAACATTTCTGGAACTGTTTAATTTTTTACACTTAGTATGGTGTAAGTTTGTTCATACTTAGCAAAAGTACAAAACAAACACTTCTAAAGATACCAAAATATATGCAAATAAATTGTCAAACAAGATTTTTTAACAAGTCAAATAGATTTATGTGTTTTTCCCTCATACCTAGTCAATCCAGAAAGCAAAAATGTATTATGGTTAAGTAGCTTTCCTATCCAAAAAACTTATTCTAATAAGCATACAATTTCTTTTTAGTTTAATATTTCTTTATACATACCACAGAAAGCTCAAATAAAATTATTCCAAGAGACCACACATCTGATTTGGGGCCAGAAGGCAATGGTTTTTCACTTGGCATATGATCAGTGCTTTTGACAATTCCTTGTGCAATTACCTCGGGTGCCAAGTATGATGGATACCTAAAATGATACATTAAATAAATGAACAATTACTACAGACTACAAAGGGGTAAAAGTAATATTACATTTTTACAATCAGTATGGTAAGATCTAAGTAAAAGTCCAGGGAAAATAAATTAACAAACTTTGCAAGGAAGAATTCTAAACTAACCATCATAATACAGGTCTTCGTGTCTAGAATCAAGAGAAAATATGTATGAGTCTCAAATAATTTTAAAGCTACTATGTCTCTCTGAAGCTGTAGTTCTTCTCTTTGTTTTCTTCTCTTTCTGACACATGCCTTCTTCCAGCATTCTGTTTCCAGGTGTTTTTCCTTTCCTTCTTACTTCCTGTCTTCTCCCTACACCTATTATTTAAAGTACATTTTATCTTTGAAAACAGTATGTATTCTTTTTTTTTTCTTTTAAATTTTTTTTTTTCAACGTTTATTTATTTTGGGGACAGAGAGAGACAGAGCATGAACGGGGGAGGGGCAGAGAGAGAGGGAGACACAGAATCGGAAACAGGCTCCAGGCTCCGAGCCATCAGCCCAGAGCCTGACGCGGGGCTCGAACTCACGGACCGCGAGATCGTGACCTGGCTGAAGTCAGACGCTTAACCGACTGCGCCACCCAGGCGCCCCTTAAAATAGTATGTATTCTTTTAAGTAGTCGGAATGTCAAAATCTTTAAAAATACATACATTGAAAAGTAAGACTCTCCCATCTCTATACTCCAGGCACCCATACATATTTATATAGAGATAAACTTGACCATCCATCACCACTGTTCCATGGGGCAGCATACTATACACACTACTCTGCACACCTTTGTTTTTCCACTTAGAGTTCATTTTAGAGATCATTCTATAAAAATAAGTGTAGATTTGCTTCATTCTCTTTGAAAACTGTGAAAAATTTCATTGTATTGGTGCACTTAATTTATTTGACCAAACTGTGAAGGACATTCTGGAAGTTTCATTCCTACACAGATAATCAATTGAGATCTACTCTATTTATTGATACCCTATTTCCCCCCAAGTAGTCCATAGTACCAGTTTCTACCACAAATAAAATCTCTACATACATGTTGGTATGCATCTTGGCTCCCTATTTTGTTCCATTGGTAAGCTTGCCTAACACTGTACCATTGTACTATTTTAAGTCTATAATATTACATAAATAATTGCCAATATTGCTAAATTAAATCCTCTCAAAACACACACATCTTTTAATTTCTCTACAAGAGTGTCTAGGTACTTTTGTTTAATTTTATATTTAATATTTACATTAATTATATTATAGTTTTATACTATCAATTTAACAATTAAATAATATTGTTATAATATATTTATTATTTATATTATTAATTTAATATTTAATAAATATAATTGTGTATAGCATATAATTTAATTAATAAATAATATATAATAATGTTCTTATTTATATTAACTTATAATAATATATAAATGTATATTATATAAATAATATATATTATATTCTTATTATAAATATTTTTAATTTTTATATATTTATATATTTTTAATAATAATCCATATAATTTATATTAACTTAACTAATAATTAAATATTATCATAATATATTAATATTATTAATATTATTAACTTAATATTTATATCATACATAAATAATTATATATATAGTTTTACATATATATAAAACTATCTTGTCAAAGTTTCTCTCTAATACACACACACACACACACACACACACACACACACAGAGCTGGAATTTTCATTGAACTTAGATCAAATGTAGAACAGGGTGGGAAGAATTGGCATCTTTCTGATACTGACCCTAACACTCTATGAACACGATATCTCTATATTTACTTTGGCCTTTTGTAATGTCTTTTAAAAAGGATTTATGTTTCTTTCACAGAGATATTAAACATACCTGATTAGTTTCTTATCAGGTATTGTATATATTTTGCTGATTTGTAAGTAATTTCTTTGTATTACTTTTATATCTACAACCTCACTAAACCCTCATCTTTTATGGGAGAATTCTTTTGAGTAGTCTTGTAGATAATCAAATCAGTTGTGCTTACCTGATTTGTTTAAAGTAACAGTTTTGTTTCCTCCTTTCTATCATTATAGCTCTTAGCGCAAAAATTTCTATTGGTGTTAACCATGAATAAATTTTGAAAATTTTTGAATACCTCTTCTGTATTTATTACAAACGGAACATATGATTCTTTTCATTTATATGCTAATGAGTTTAAATACATTGATTCCCTGATGTTTAACCAACCTTGCATTCCTAGAACTTTTGTTTCTAGTAATTTCACTGAGAAATAATAATTTTATCTTCTTTCCATTGTTGATATTTATCTGATTTCTTTTCCTTGTGCAACTCCATTCATTAGTACCAGGAATACATTGTCAAATGACAGTGGTGTTAATAAATATTTTGTTTAAAACCTGAAAACTTTGGGTTGAGATCAGTCTTTCTTTCTAATAACAGGCAGATATAGATAAATGGATGATTTCACTACATTAAGGAAGTATTCACATAGTTCTTTTTTATTAAGAAAAAATTTTAATGAAAATGTTGTGATGTTAAATCTATCAGATGTTTGTAAGAATCCAGAGAAATGACTGAATTTTACTTCTGATATATTATTACTGATATATGCTCTATTAAATTATGTTTATAGATTTCCTAAGCCATCTGAATATTTAGGGAGGGAGGGAGGGAGGGAGGGAGGGAGAGAGAGAGAGGGAGAGGGAGAGAAAGAATCCCAAGCGGACTCTACTCTGCACTGTCAATGTAGAGCCCAATGTGGGCTCAAACCCACAAACCATGAGATCATGACCTGAGCTAAAATTAAGAATCAGACACTTAACCAACTGAGCCACCCAGATGCCCCAAGTACAGGAAAAGTTTTAGCAGGAAATTCAACAGCAAATATAAAGGAATTGGTAAGAAAATCATATTATTGTGTAAAATATCTTCCTATCAGACTAAAATACCTACCTTCTGTCTTCTAAACTCAAAAATGTAAGCCATTTTATTTAATAAAAAAGACAAAGTCTTAGAACTCCAGGGTGGCTCAGTTGGTTGAGTGGTTGAGCATCCAACTTTGGCTCAGGTCATGATCTTGTGTTCCTGAGTTTGAGCCCCATATCCGCTCTCTGTGGTCAGCACAGAGCCCACTTCAGATTCTCTGTCTCTCCCGCTTGTGCTTTCTCTCTCTCACAAAAATAAATAAAACATTTAAAAAACAGACAAAGCTTTTATAAACAGTATACTCTATAAAATGTGTCAAACTTCTAACTTTAATTTTCTAATGAATTCATTTTATGAATAATTCCATAAAACCTTAAGTTGATTTGCTGAGATGGAAATTATTTCTTCTCTCAGTGAATCCCCATGATATTTTCTCTGTATCTTTATGGTTCTCTAATGACTATAAGATACTTATTTTACTTGTTTCATATGTATGTAATGGACTATACACAATATGTAATACTACCCATTTTTATGTTTTGTTTTTTTCTATGTTTATAATACTTAGTAAACAAAAATTTACCCTCCTTCAAAAAAACCACAATTTGAGGGCATCTGTGTATCATATTCACTTTTATAAATCCTCTGCAACTACCAACACATTTTAAATGTAAGATATGCTCAGTTAATTTGTGCTAAAAAATAACATTTCCTTTAAAAAACGTCCACTAAGACTACCTTACAGACAATTTTTTAAAAGTTTGTTTATTTTGAGAGTGGGAGTGAGGATGCGTGTGTGTGAACAGGGGAGGGGCAGAGAGAAAGTAAGAGAGAGAATCCCAAGCAGACTCTGCAGTGACAGTACAGAGCCCGAGGTGGAGCTTGATCTCACAAACCATGAGATCATGACCTCAGCCAAAATCAAGAGTTGGACACCTAACTGACTGAAGCACCCAGATGCCCCTTTACAGGTGATTTAAAAAGCAGACAGTACATAAGTTTCAGATATATTGAGAAGTACTAAATTTAAATCTTACTGCCTATAAACAAAAGAAACAAAAACAGGGTCTTCTGGGTGGGTCAGTCGGTTAAGTGTCTGATTTCAGCTCAGGTCATCATCTTGTGGTCTGTGAGTTCAAGCCCCATGTTGGGCTCTGCTGACAGCTCAGAGCTTGGAACCTGCTTCAGATTCTGTGTCTCCCTCTCTCTGTCCCTCCCCAGCCCCTCCATCTCTCTCTCTCAAAAAAAAAAAATATATATATATATATATATTTTTTAAAAGAAACACAAACAGCTTTAGAAATGAAAATGAGTAGAATTCTGCCCTACTTATTGCATAGGTGCATACCCTTTCTTCATTTATCATCAGACTTAGTCATGAGCACAATTATCCGGCCTTTTCAATTCTAGGATATTAGATTATTATGGCACCCTGCAATAATGACAATAAAAATGTATAAGTATATGGAACATCTATGTAATATATGCAATGTAGACACTCAAATATTAGTTCCATTTCTCTTCTTGTGTTAGTCTATAGCCACCTCCTCACACTATGATGGCCAGTACTTAACTGACATGTAAAATATAAGTCAATTAAATCAGAGAACATACCTTAAATTCAAATGGGTAAATTAGGTTTTTAAATTTCCATTTTAATACAATGATGATGATGATGATGCTACTAATATCCACCTTTAATTTGCTCATATATTTCTCTCATGTACAAATTTCTATTATGTTATTTTACCCTAACGTGATCATATTGCTCTTCTAAATGACATCTCTGGAAACAATTGCAGCCCAGTGGAAGAAGTATGTCTTTGGTATTATTATAATACCTGTATTCCAGTTTCAGTTCTATATAGAACTGTGGTTTCTTAATCTGAAAATAGGAATAATAATGTCTACCTCACCAAACTGTTATAAATATTAGTGAGTACCTAAAGATGTTTTTATAAAAATGGAAAATATGATGAAAATACAATACTGTATTTCTAAGCATAATCACCATAATACATCTAGAAGGCAAACTGTTTATTTTTAATCCTGATTTTCAGCATATCTTATCCAAAAATAATGCTGTGGGTAGTTAAAAATCAAGCAATGCTATGGGTAAATCATTATACCTAAAACTTCCAACTGGTAATCTCTAGAAGCATAGAGGTGATCCTTGCTCCAAAAATTTGAATTTCCCTTCAAATCAAGAAATAATTAAACTAATTAATAAAAATAATAAACCCTAGGATTGGTTTTAATATAGACACTCTTCTTTTAACAAGTGTTTCTTCTTTAGCATAGCATTTCAACACTCAAAGAAAATTAACAGAACTCTGCCTTAAGTATGACTAGTGAGGTAAACAAAAGTGGCTTTCATCATCTGTTTGATGTTTTAACAAGGTATTAAGCTACTGGCCAACAGAAATGAATGTCCAATTTCTAACTCTTTACAATATTCTGAAACAGATGTTAACATTTTACTTTGTTGTTCCTCAATATTTGTCTTTTGAATCAACGGCAAGCTTCTTCTGGTGTAAATATTTTCTTTCATGCCTTAGCTGTTTGATCACTTTATTTTTCCTGGCTAATGTTTCACATTTTGCTCTTTGATACTTTCTGGTCAGACCCTTTGGGTTCAAGACTTCAAAGTAAACCAGAACAAATGGCACACAAGACCAATTCTGCCCAAGCATTTTAAATTCAAATGTGGTTCTTCAACATGCTTGGTGTGCTTTACAAAAAGTCACTTCCTTTCTTGTATTCATCACTAAATAAAGCACCTTTCAATAAAAGGTAAAAAATTAAAGTAATTTTTGTTTACACTGTGTTTTTGGAGTTCTTCTCTCACACAGATTGATCTAGACAATATGAAGCAGCAGCAGCAATCACATACTTCCTATCAGACTACTGCTCCCTAAAAGGTACTTCAAAAGGCAATTATCACATAGGAAAGAAGACATTAGGGCTTTATTGTGGACTTATTACATTCAAAGGTTTTTTTTTTAAACAAATAAAATGTAGGCTATTTTTATAAGATAGTTTTCATGCTTGGAAAACAATTGCTTGTTTCCTATGATCACAAGTTTTGGTATACAAAACTATATGATTAATTTATTGTACCTTATTATAAATAGGCCACCAAAAGAGGACATTTTCCCATTAAACAATGAGCCTCTTGAAAACAAGAACCTACCTTATCCATTTTTGCACATCCAGCAGCCAGAAGAGAAGGTGCTCAATAAATGTTGTCTTAATAAATAAAGAAGGAACGACTAAGCAATTTATTTTAAGATTATTAGCTATGGTCTAACTAACAAAAATTTTAGGTAGAAACTTACAATTTACTTTATAAAGGTAAAAGGATAAATTATAAATGAATCCCTTTTTTTAAACATCTAATTAAAGCAATGTTCTCCTGCAGAAACACACGCCATGACTCCAAACCATAATTCTTGGTAATGGAGTGACAAAACTGATTTGAGAGAGCCCAAAGAGCAAAATGCAAATGGGCACTATTAAAAAAATCACAAAGCAACTGAACATTATGGTTAAAATATCTAGATTAGATAACACTATTATGTTAATTTTAATTTCCTTGTTTTGATACTTGTTTTGTGGTTATGTAAGAAAATTCCTTTTTTAAGAAATACAAACTGAAGTATTTAGGGGTAAAAGGCCATCATATGCATTAATTGCTCTTAAATGATACAAAAAGTACTTATATGAACATACACATATACGAGTAAGAAAAAAGAAAGAGAGAAAACAAGAGTAGTGAAATGTTAATCTTTGGGGAATCTAAGTGAAGGCAATAGAGTGATTCTTTGTACTATTTTGAAACTTCTATGTATTGAAAACAATGTGAAAACTAAACACTCAAAAAATAAAAGAATTATATTATTAAAATGTCTAAAAAGCAACCACACAATAAATACAACACAAAATCTGTATCACAAGCATTGAGTTGAGAACAGGATAAAATAAACTTTCCTTTCTTGGAGGCCAACATAAATTAAAATTCTATCAGAAGTGATCAAATAAACCTCTCCAAACTTAAACACAGACTTTCTACCCTATTACCTCTGATACCTACAATGACTCAGTTTGAGTCTTAACATGCAATTACATCTTAGAGAACAAGGAATTAAACTTAGAAACAATAGAAAATAATATGAGAACAATTTTTCTCAGTCTTTTAAGGAACACACACTAAGTGAGAATCTGGCCAACCTTCTTGCCTTAATTTTACCTAATTCTGGATGAAATAAAATTAATTATCAAGCATTAAAAGGTAAAGAAGGTCAATAGTCTATTAGCCTCTGACAATTCAATGAAATATCAACATTATATATATTTTGGATACTGGGAAAAACTCATTGTCTACTCTTTTAAAAGTATATGGAAGATAAAAATATGTTAATAAAGAAAAGCTAGTTTTTTATTAGAAAGCAGTATCACCATTAACAGAATACACATTTCATCAAATATTACAAAGTTTAAGACACAACTCAGAAGAAAAGAAAACATATCCTCACCCAATTGGGAAATCAACATCGTCACCATGAGCTGTCATGTGATAAAGTCCAAATTTAGCCAATTTAACATGTCCCTACAATAATAATAATAAAACATTATTAAATATTTTAATATTATTAGTAGGAAAAAATATCATTATGTATCATAAGTAAGGAAATCACCATTAGTGAGGTACATTAAGAAAAAATTGTATTTTATCATAACTATAATAAAAACTATTTGCCAATGTGTGAAGCCTGCTTTATTCTCATTACAAATATATGTATATGTATATGCATACATGTATGTATAGATATACACATATATATTACTTGTATATAGATCTCAAAACAACACTTAAAAATTAAATTTATATTTTTATAAAATTATAAAAATTTTCCAGATATGTTGACAAAACAAAAAAAGCAGAAATGTTCTCATTTGTCTTGAATCCCTGCTTGGAACATTTTTGGTAATTTTCACAAGATAAATTTTTTTTTTTCAAGGAGTTCCAAGTCCATTCATAATGTCATAAATTTAACCCTGACATGGGAATTCTTAACTTGGAAATATTAGTTACCAAATCATGAAGATATTAGTGAATCTGCTAGATTTCCAACAATCATTTATATTGTTTGAAAAAGCCATAATTATCACAAGAGATTCTTAATAAAAGACAAATATAAATTTTGTAAGTCTCTTAAGTTTTCCTCCTTTTAGATATTTAAGACTTTAAAACACATTAAGTTGATTTAAATTTTTTTTTCTTTTTCTCAAGAACTTTACTTCTCAGCATTACAAAACATTTATATCTCCAAACAACTCAGATTGGTTATATACTCCACTGCCATAAATATGAAATGAATGAGTACCATTTTAGCTTTTATGATTTTTAATACCATAGCATAATTATATTAAAAGTCTAGAAAAGAATCAGAGGAAAATAATAATCCTTCTAATATAAAAAATAATTCCCAAGACACACTTCTTTCAAAGCTATTTTAAATGCTTATGAAAAAATGAAAGTATGATTATTCCTGAAAATATACCATTTTGCTACCCATAATTCTCTTACAGAGGTTGACTTGGTTCTTATTAATCACCCATAAGATTTCCAAGTAAAGAAGTGGTACTCCAATAAAAAAGGAAACTAGGTATGAACAGTTGGTAAATAAAGAAGGTAATGGGGAAGAAAAAAAAGAAGAAAAAATAGGGAGGAAGAATAATAAACAGGAGAAAATGCAAAACAGTTGTACTATCAGAAAAATACTCTGTGTCAATAGAGCTTTCTTTAAATGAAAGCAAATCCAGGGGTGCCTGGATGGCTTAGTCGGTTAAGTGATCAACTTTTGATTCCAGAGCAGGACATGATCTCACGATCCATGAGATTGAGCCCATGTCATCCAGCTCTGTGCTGAAAGAAGGGAGCCTGCCTGGGATTCTCTCTATCCCCCTCTCTCTGCTCCTCCCATGTATGCATGTGTGCGCTCTCGCTCTCTCTGTCTCTCAAAATAAATAAACATTTTTTAAAAATGAAAGCAAACTCAGAGGCGTGGACTGGGAAGCTATAATGCATACTTTTCAGAAAGTGAATGAAAGGAAAAACAAAACATGAAGTTAGAAAATGAATCTTGAGGAAAAAGGAATAATGCATGTGAAAAAAACACATGGACAAAAAATTTAAAGATAGTTTTTTTTATTGTTTATTTATTTTTGAGAGGGGGGACAGGAAGGGCAGAGAGGGGGCGACAGAGGATCTGAAGTAGGCTCTGTGCTGACAGTGGAGAACTCGATGTGGGGCTAGAACTCACGAACTCCAGGATCATGACCTGAGCTGAAGTTGGACACTTAATTGACAGAGCCACCCAGGTGCCCCATAAAGGTAGTTGTTTTTTTCCTAACTGCCACAAGTATATCACTTTCATACAGCCATTTCATTATGAGTATTATTAAAACATATTTGTATTCTAAAGACCCTCTGATAGAGTGGGTCTAATTTCAGTAGCTTCCACCCACAAATAACAAATAAAATATTTGTTACTTAATTTATTATTTGACAATTACCTTTCGGTCCAAAAGAATATTATGAGGAGAAAGTGCCCGGTGTACTATACCATGTTTGTTCATATACTGCAAACCCTGAAGTACCTCAAATGCTATGCACAAAACCTTTGAGTAGCTACAAAGAAAAAAAAAAAAAGTCACAGATCAACAGATACAATTACAAAGCAGATACAGAACCTGTTTTAAAGAATGAAATGACATTATAAAAATTGAAAGAGTTGTATTTTTATTATTCCTCTTCTATTCAGAGAAAATATGATCTATAAATTTTATAAAATATCCACTACATACATATTTTGGATTTTATGATTACAACAGAATTGATCTGGCAAAGATCCTACAGTTTTCTAAGCCTACTCTAACAGCAGGGAGGGAGTTGAATTTTGGTGATGCACAATTAACCTTCTACAGGTTTGTCTTTGCCAAATTATCTGGGAAGTTTCAAATATAAGGCAGAACTAAGTCAATGAAAACCACCTTTCCTGCTCAAGACAAAATACCTAAGTTCCTGAAAAATAGCTAAAATATATTTTATGGTAGATGGACACGAGGTTACTTTCCATATCCACAAAACAACCCCTAGCAACTGACAATTTATCAAACATTTCTCTTTAATTCTTCCTAAGCCATCTTCCAGTGGAATGCCCAGTTTCTCTCTTTTTCCATATCTTTCCATTTTTTTTTTTAATTTTTTTTTTTCAACGTTTATTTATTTTTGGGACAGAGAGAGACAGAGCATGAACGGGGGAGGGGCAGAGAGAGAGGAGACACAGAATCAGAAACAGGCTCCAGGCTCTGAGCCATCAGCCCAGAGCCCGACGCGGGGCTCGAACTCACAGACCGCGAGATCGTGACCTGGCTGAAGTCGGACGCTTAACCGACTGCGCCACCCAGGTGCCCTCCATTTTTTTTTTTAAATCAAGAACCATTAACATGGGAAGTTAGGGATGATATAAGGAAAGTGGGAAAGACTAATTCAAACCCAATCCCCCAAACTATCAATATTAACATTTTTGTATAGATTTCTTTTCTACTCATTTTTTGACATTTTATCTATCTATCTATCTTAATTGGTTTATATTATGCTTTTTTTTTTTTAAAGATTTTTGTTTTTTTGTAAGTAATCTCTACATTCAACATGGGCTCAAACTCCCAACTCCAAGATAAGTCACATGCTCTACCAACTGAGCCAGTCAGGTGCCCCTGACATTTTAAATTAGACTTTTAAAAATTAAATTAATATCTACAGGTAATCACTAAAACTAATTTTTTAAAAGGTATAAATAAATTTATAAATTTATTTTATAATAAATAGTAAAGATAAATAAAAGTAAAGATAAATAAAAAAAATAGTCAACCTCAAAGCTGGTAGAATAAAAGGAAAAAAAGAACAAAGAACAAATGGAACAATTAGAAAATAACAGACTTTAATTAGGATGTATCAAACATCATATTAAATGTAAATGCAAACATCTAAACTGAAAGATAAAAATTGTCAGATTACATAGGAATTAAGCCTCAATTATATTCAGACTATAAGGAACCCACATTAAATAAAAGGCATACATTAAAGTAAAAGGATGGAATAACAGATCACTGATTATCATGGGCTTGCTTGGAGGGACGGGTTGACTGCAAGAGAATATGTGGAAAATTTACCTGACAGAACTGTTATGTTCTTGACTTTGATGATGATTACACTACTGAGTTTGTCAAATTGACTGACCTGTACACTAAAAAAGTTATATTTTAAAGTATGTAAATTACAGCTCAATAAACCTGATGTTAAAAAAGTAAGCTGAAGAAAATTTTCAAAAAAATATTTGTAATATGACTCCCTCCTCCAAATTAAGTCCATAAGAAAGAGCAAGACATGAAAAGCTAAAATCCCTTTCCTCTCATCCTAGTCTGACTTTCCAGAGGTATCCACCCTTAGCAATTTCTGTTTTCAATTCTGCTGGTTAGATTTTAGTTAACATTATTAAGTCTTTGCTATGCAAGATGATATAATTAATATACTTTTACAACATTCCCATTTTCCTTTCCCAACTCCTGATTTTTATTAGTTATATTATTTTTAAATTATTGAATTTTATAGATGAAACAAAAGAAATCTACATTCCTTTCTTGAAGGCTAAACAAATAAACAAGTAAATATATGATACATAGTAATTACGTGTTAAGGAGGAAAAGGAAGAGAGAATGTGGGATAGCAGGTTGCTATTACATGTAGAGAAGGAAGATCAAGGAAGGCATCACTAAGATGACATTTGTGCAGAAATCTAAAGGAAGTGAAAAAGACATGTAGCTCTCTGGGAAATACGTGATTCAGGCAGAGGGCACAGTAGGCAAGTCCTGAACTGGAAGATTGCATAGCAGTTCAAAAAGTGCAACAAAGCCACTGTGCATGCGGTAGAGTGAGCAAAGGGCAAGGTGTTAGGAGATGAGGGCAGAGACATAACAAGGAGCCAGATCATGTAAGGCTATTTAGGCCATTGTAAAGCCTTTGGCTTTCACTCTGAGACAGATGGGAAGTGGTTGTCACATTGCTATACTATGATTAGTAAATATTCATTGTAGAACTAAGAAAACAATATACTCCTAAGCCACTTAACCCCTAGCTCTCAAGAGAAAATGTATCAGTCATCAGGATTTGATGGATACTATAATTTCATAATTATACCTCTATTATGAAGGTTATCATCAGCTATCATCATTTTTATACTTCTTACTCATTTTGTATTTACATTTTTATTTAGTTAGAATACATCCATGAGAAAATTTTTCTTAAGAGTGGCGTGAGTAGGAAATTTTAAAGCATGGTCTTAAAATGTCTTATTCTTGCCTTTAAACTTGGCAAAAGATTTCTCTATTGTCCTTTATTAATAGTAAGAAGTCCAATATCAATCTAATTTCGTTGTAGACACCTTGTTATTCCCCTCCGGAAGCTTGGGATTCTTTTTCACTTCATCCTTAGACTTTTACAATTTTAGTCCAGTATATCTAGAGTATGGGCATTTGTGCATTTATGTTAGTAAGCAATAGGTGTGGCTTTTAACCTGAAGACTCAAATGTTGCATTAGCAGAATTAAGAAGGAAAAGTTTGTTATGTCTTTGTTTTCTCCCTCTACTATATCTTTTAGTTAGAACTCTCAGAGGGCAGGTGAAAATTACATCTATTCTTGAGATCAACTTTCTGTTTTATTTACTATGAGTCTGGCCTTTAGTCCTATCTCTTCTACTATTTAATTTCCAAGGAATTTGCTCTGTTCTCTAGTTGTTCTTTAATAGATCCTTTTCTTTTGATTATGGATACATTATTCTTTTGAATCTCTCTGAAGATAGTTATTAGAATTCTGTTAATAATTAAGGGGAAAAGAAGGGTGTTATCTTTATTTTCTCTGGGGTGTTTCTGTTTTTTTTTTTTTTATTTGCTTTTTTTTCCCCCACTTCCCTTGGCTTTCTTTCTCTCAGACTATTTTTTCCTCAAATGTCTGGTAATCCTTAGTTGCCAGCCATACTTTAAAACAAAGCAATAAACTGACATTCTTCATAAAGTATGTAAAAAAAGAAATAATAAAAGTTGCTATTTATAAGGAATGCTTATTTGAGACTCAGTGGGTTAAGCATCTGACTCTTGATTTTGGCTTAGGTCATGATCTCAAGGTCATCCCCAAGCCCTGACTCTGAGCTGAGTGTGGAGCCTGCTTAAGATTTTCTCTCTCCCTCTTCTTCTGCCCTTCCCCTGCTTGCTCCTGTGCTCTCTCTCAAAAAAAAGAACACTTATTTAAACGATTTCTCTTTATCAAGCAGTTTCCCCCATATTAAAGTGCCACAACAGCTACTCAAGCAAATAGGAAATGTGTGAAACAAAAACAATTTGAAAGTAACAAGAGTTTTCCTAAACAGCCTCAAAAAAGAAACCAACTTTGTAAAGGAAAAGATTCTGAACTTTAAAACAACTATAGTGATACTGGCAAATATGTGCATGTGAAAGAATGCAGACCTGTCTCATTTTAAAAACAAAGAAAAATTTTCCTTGACATTGACTAACAAATAAAAGATAAGAACTTAATTTTCTAAACTCATTTGACTCTGTAAGTCATGTTTACCATAGTAATCTGTCTTGTCCTCGTTGTCCTTTTCTCCAACATGCACACACATAATTCACAAAATCTTAAAAGCTGATGCCATATTCAGCTGTGACACTAGAGGACCTCAGTTGCACACTACTTCAATATAGATGCCTTCCTTAAGAAATTAAAACCAAACCTTTAAAGTGATTTTTCCATTAAACTAGTTCTCAAACAGCTGAACAGAGAAGACTACATGTTCTATTTTGACAACTTGTTTTTGCTGATTATAAAATATAATTGGAAAATACTTCCATGTCAAAAAGCACATTCATGCTATTATAGAGTTGATGAGCATATATGCTGAAATAATTTTTATTTTTATTTTTTTATTTTTTTTTTTAATTTTTTTTTCAACGTTTATTTATTTTTGGGACAGAGAGAGACAGAGCATGAACGGGGGAGGGGCAGAGAGAGAGGGAGACACAGAATCTGAAACAGGCTCCAGGCTCTGAGCCATCAGCCCAGAGCCCGACGCGGGGCTCGAACTCACGGACCGCGAGATCGTGACCTGGCTGAAGTCGGACACCCAACCGACTGCGCCACCCAGGCGCCCCGCTGAAATAATTTTTAAATATTCAAACATATAAAACTGAAGCTCATGACATACCTTTCCTTAGCTATTACTTGAGAGTATTATAGCTAATGGACTCAGTACTCTTCTAAATCAGAGTAAATCAGATTTGGTTTTCTGCCCTATTGTAGGATTTAATTTTTAAATTTATTTTAAAATACAAGTATAAAGGAGAAGAAAAAGATAGTGTTATTTTCTATAATGAGACAATAGAATCAGTATTTGTGAAATTCTGTATATTTACTTGTTTTTAAAGCTCTATTCTCTAATACTGCCAATAATTTAGATGATGAAGTCTTTTAAGATAATTATTTTGAAGTAGCTAATGCAATTATAATGCAACAGCAAAATAAAAAGTCATATGTATAGTAATAGCATGTCACAGTTAACTGAAAATGGGCTCCAGAA